CCCAATCCCATTTCTTCTTTTTACCCCTACCCCTTGGAGTGTCACCCTAACCTCTTGGAACTGAGTTACAAGGGGTAGTGGTTGATATCTTGACCTACAAAATAGGACCCTCAAATTTAAAAAAACAAATAAAACATCACTTCATTAACAGCTACTAGCGCTGCTCTGCAGGCGACCCTGCCAGTCTGCAGTGACAGCAGAGGAGGGTAAAGTTCAGCTCCTCACTGCTGGGCTTTAGTTACATTTAGGGCATCATATGCCTTCAAAGAGGGGGGCAATTATTTATTATCACCCACCACTAATTCTTCAGTGATATGAAGCTGAAGTCAGATATTTTCCAGATTCTTGTTCGAATTTTCCACCTTAAATGGTGCAGCAGTTACATTCTGGCACTTCAGGCGTCGGAACTGCTGGACTATTTAAGGTGGAATGGGAAAGTTAGCTAGCTAGATACCAAGACATTAGCATGCTATTAGCGATTTTTTATGCTTGTTATAAAGAAAACGACCATAATACACTGAAACGACATTAAACTAAGATAATTCAGTGGTTATTGTAATTTTTTAACAGAGAAAATTCCCACATTTGTGTGATTCTTTGGTCTCTTGTTCAGCCATCTTGCCGGTTTTTCTTTTTTTCTCATATCTCTCTGTTTGGTGTCTCTGAAAAACCTCTGTTTGGAGGGTCACATAACCCTAACACTTTACCCTACCCCTCTATCTCAACAGAAATCAGGACACCCTACCCCTAGACGCGAACATGCAAACAGAGAGCTAAGGGCTAAGTGGTAGGGGCGAGGGGTGAAATGAGACTGGGCCTTAGTGTTAGTCTTAGGGAAGGAAGGGAGGAGGGATGTATGCGTCTGACTGACTGTGGGAAGAAGCTGGTTCTTATCTGTTAGTTTTTGCACCGATTGATCTGAATCTCTTGCATTTTTAGAATTGAATAATAGTATTTGTCCAGTTCAAACCCTTTTATATCCATCATCACAGAGCTCTTGATGGGTGCAATGACATTAATAACCACACGGGGGCAGTGTGCTCGTTTTTATAGCCATGTGAGCTTGCATGGCCTCCGGGCCTAGTCTTACCACTGAGTTCAGACGAGTTGGTCCTTTTAAACTAAGACAGCTGTGTTTGAGATATTAACATCTCCAACTTTCAACATCTGGCACTGTTAATGCTCACTGAAGGCAGTTTTAGAAGGTCATCAAGAAAAAAAAAGCCACAGCCAGTTCTTAAGGTGGTGCTTTGGTGTTTGTTTGGTGCAGTTTGGCTCACCTTCACTTTGCTGTTTAATGTCTGCTTTAAGCTCAGCTATCAGATAAGTGTGAAAGGAGGTCAGTCTGGCATTTTACTGAGGTCATCAAGTCCATTACGTAAAGGTAAGTGGAGATAAGTAGTTTAAAACAAATGGTCATCACAAAAGTTCAGGACGCCATATGCCATAAATGATATCTTAGCAAGTGATCATCTTAAATCTAGCCTAAGTATCTGATATTCCTTATTTGTTGTAGGAATATTACGGTTATACAACTTGGATCTAGATGTTTTTTAACCAGTTTTGAGTAATCTTATTAAGTAAAAATATATCTGTAGATAATTTTGCATGTTTCAAGTGTATTTCTTAAAATATGCTTAATTATCTGCCAATATTGTGAGTATTTTACTTAATAAAATTATATATGAAGATATATAGACTAGATTTAAGATAACTTCACTTGCCGAGATGTGATTATTTGCAATGTGTGGAGTTTACAAAGAGAGAATATGGGACACCGAGATTGTCGGCCCTGAATGATAAAGCCACACTTGGATTCACTTTAATTGCCATTTGTGTTTAGTAGTAAGAAACAGCTAATAATCTTAAAAAAGCTGGTTCTTCAAGGGTTCTTTAGTAAAGGGAATGGTTCTGTTTAAAACCATGAGGTCTATATGGAACCATTTGTATGCTTTAATGGTTCTTTGCATGGCGAAATGTTTCTTCAAACTGATGTTGAATCTGTTGTATATGGTTCTATAAAGCACCAGAAAGGGTTCTTCTATTATTACGATGTCAAGCTTGTAACAGTAGAAGAACCCTTATTGGTGCTTTATAGTACCATTCTCAAAAAGGTTCTGTACAGAACCATCTACAACATATTCTCCATTAACGTGAAGAATCATTTCACCATGCAAAGAACCATTTAAGCATGAAGCCCATTGACAGTTTGGGCCGATTCTGGCTTTCGTATGTGAGTGCTGGTTGACTGCCGGGTAAATGTTAGGCATGCGGGCCAGAATAGGGCCAGATCCTGGACAGCTTCATCTCATTTTGCCTTGTGTCTACATTTGTAAGACAGCTCTGCTGTGAATGTTGTGAACCAACAATGTAGTTGTGCCAGATTTGGGCCATTTCCTTTAGTTCTTCTCACTTTACACTGTGTGTGCCAGATCTGGGCTGAGAACCCAACCATATACTGGGCCAGACGAAGCCAAGGATGTGGCCCACAAGTGGGCCAGACATATTTTGCTTACTGGGAATGGTTCTATGTATGGCTCTAAATAAACCATTTGCTTTGCTAAAGAACCCTTGAAGAGCCATGTTTTTTGTAGAGTGTACAATTAGAGCATGTTTCTTAAAGTGTCCAGTAATACCTGAATTCACGTTGTTTCTTTATTTTGATGCGAAGTGCCCGTTTCAGTGCACATTTTAACATGCCCTCGTCCACCTGGCCATCTTAAGCGTCTTTCCATTACTTTATTAGCTCAAGTGAGGTTTATTAGATGAGCCCTTGAAAGGAATTGAGTGAACACAAGGCTCAATTGCAGCAGCAAAACTTGTCCAGAAATCATTGCGACCTGACACATTTCACTTGTCAAACCTGAAAATAATGGTGGGCAAAGATGTTTACAAGCCGCAGCAATAAAATACTCACTCTCAGCACTGCAGTAACACTGATGTGGTGGTGGTGTGTTAGTGTGTGTTGCGCTGGTCTGAGTGGATCAGACACAGCAGTGCTGCTGGAGGTTTTAAACACCTCAGTGTCACTGCTGGACTGAGAATAGTCCACCAACCAAAAATATCCAGCCAACAGCGTCCTGTGGGCAGCGTCATGTGACCACTGATGAAGGACTAGAGGATGACCAACACAAACTGTGCAGCAGCAGATGAGCTATCGTCTCTGACTTTACATCTACAAGGTGGACTGACAAGGTAGGAGTGTCTAATAGAGTGGACAGTGAGTGGACACAGTGTTTAAAAACTCCAGCAGCACTGCTGTGTCTGATCCACTCAGACCAGCGCAACACACACTAACACACCACCACCACATCAGTGTTACTGCAGTGCTGAGAATGATCCACCACCCAAATAGTACCTTAATTGCAAAGTTTGTATAAGTAGCCTATTAGCTTACAGATGCTAACCTAGCCTAGGGCAAGAGCCCAGTGTGACCACTTGTGCAACGTAGGTTATAAAATTAATTATTTCTGACATCTGAAAAGTTGGAACAGACCAAAAAAACAGTAGTGCCACATTTTAAAAATACTACATGTTAAACTGAGTACAGTGATTTGTATTCAACTACACTGCACTCGTTCAAGTTAAGCAGGGCTGAAAAAAACCCATAGCGACCATTAAGTGTTTCTGTTGGTTCCTGATAGTTTTGTAATGTATTTTGGGTTGATATCACAATGTAAATAATCCTAATGGTTTTACAGGTGACCAGTGGCTGATTCTAAACACATTTGATGGGGTTCTGAATGTGTTCTACAGGAAACTGGTGGTTTCTATTGGAAATCTTTAAGCCAAGAAAGCAAAACCATTAGGTTTTAATCCTTAAGGTTTCTAATGGTCCTTTTTCAGCAGGATTATGCTCTCTTTGTAATGAAATGTGGACTTGGTCAGTGTTCTTTAAGTACTGATAATGCTTCCATAATATGCACATAAAAGCATGTTCGATGACAGCAGGAGGATGGTAGGCCATGGTTGGCCCACTGATGACAAAGCTGGTGGTCCACTGGTGGTTTGCTCAGCGTTTCTGGGTGGCCCACCAGTGGTTAAGCAGAGTGTTAGACAAAATTCCACTTATTATTGCTTATTGTCCACTCACAGTCTAATTTATTTTTCCTTCATTCCTTTTTTTAGTTATACTTTGTAAATTAGTTTGTTTTCTAAAATAAAAGTCTTTGTGCATTTAAAATCTGTTTGAGGAGGTTAAAAACTAGTTAGAGCTTGTATGCAGGACAGTGAACTGGGTAGTCTGAGGGTGGACTAGTCAGTGGGGTGCCGACCTCATCAAGCCAGTGGACCAATACGCAGATCAGGTATAACATTCTGACCACCTCCTTGTTTCTACGCTCATTGTCCATTTTATCAGCTCCACTTACTATATAGGTGCACTTTGTAGTTCTACAGTTACAGACTGTAGTCCATCTGTTTCTCTGCAGACTTTGTTAGCCCCCTTTTACCCTGTTCTTCAGTGGTCAGGACCCCCATGGACCCTCACAGAACAGGTACTATTTGGGTGGTGGATCATTCTCAGCACCTATATAGTAAGTGGAGCTAATAAAGTGGACAATGAGCATAGAAACAAGAAGGTGGTCATAATGTTATGCCTGATCTGTGTATATGCTTACTATCTGGGTTGTGACACAGTGACATAATTTATCACAATAACAATAAATATTTTCACATTGCCCAGCCATTGGCTAATGTATGTTTAAAAAAAAAAAAAAAGGAATTGAAACCAGGCCCAAATTCAAGTTCTGTAAGTTTCGTATTTTGTCTTGGTTGTAATAAAACATGCCCTCTTCTTCTAAACAACCTCCTCTCTCAAAGAAGTAGCTAATCAAAGAAACGTTTGCATATAACTTACGATTAGCCTGACTTGTTTTTTTAGTCAAACGAGTGCTGTGGGTGAGCAGGTTTATGTATGTTAGTGCATTTTGCTATTTTCACATGCACCACTCTGTTTGTTCTGCTCCAGATCAGCACTTTCTGCCCCCACCCTCTCCAGCATGGACATCGGCGTGACCCCGAGACGGCACAACCCGGTGGACAGCATCTGCCGCAAGCTGCAGACCATCCAGCGGCGTGACAAAGAGGCTAACTCGCCCTTCCAGATCCCCAAGCTCCAGTCCAGCAGCTACGATAGCCCCCACACGGGCCTGCGGCACAACCTGGAGGCCATCCTGAAGAAACGTGGTGTCCGCCCCGATGGTGACTCTGACCACGAGGCATCAACAGTCATGCTGACCCCCACTGGTACCCCTGCAGCCCGCTCCTCTGCCACCCCAAGTGTGCCCATCACGCCCGTAAACGCCACTTACTCCATCACTAGCACTCTGGGCACGCTGGCTGAGAGGGGCAGTGTGGCTCCAGGCTACAGTCGACCCTGGCAACGGAGCTGCTCCACACCCGCTGTACAGACCGGGGATGGTTATTTCAACTTCACCCCGCGTTATCCCCCACCCTCACAGCCCCAGGGCACGAGGGAGAAGGCCAGCATGCCACCCACACATGGACTGCTCTCCTACAACCTGAACTTTTGCTCTGCAGACACGTCCAACATTGCTGACAGTGAGCTGGCCTATCCAGCACTGGTGGTCAAAAGACTCTCGTTGGGAGATGGTAAATGTCTGGGCATATAGTGAATGTGTTCTTTAGGACTAGACAACCCAAAAACAATACTGTAGCGAACAGAAAAGAACACTATTTTGCACCAGTTAGTGCAAACATTATTTAGTGCTTCCCCTGTGCACTACCAGTTAAACTCAGGCATGCTATGGTCAGAGGAAGCACTAAAATCTGGCAATCAGGCCCTTGCACAGACATTTTGGGGGGCAGGAGCTCAAGTGGGGAAACAGGATACTACACGCACTCCTATGACCACCTCACAACAACTGAATTCTGTATTACTGCGCCACAGCATGAAAAATCTTTTTACTGGCTCTCATGCTGCTTGTAGGAACCACTGGTTGTGCAGGTGAAGTAAGAACCCGTTTTTTGTTTAAACTGAGCGGCTGGCACCTTATTTTCTTAACAAGAACTAGGCTGGTCAGCTAGCTAACTAGCTACAAGTTAGCTAACAGCCTAAACAACTCCGTAATTAATATCTAGTTATACAACAGTTAGTTCCGGCCACGCACGCTGATTGGTTGAGAAGTGTTCTAACCTTCTAAACGTTTTTTCACAAACACTGTATCACTCCGCTGAGACGCCGTTGCTAATCAACGACTTAGACAGCTGTAGGAGCCATTTGACCGTTTTTACTTCTTACTTTGCCGCAAACAGAAAATGGATACTTTTTAAGATCATGTTTGACCGACAGCCGATTTGGTCAGACTCTGAAAATGAGACTAAATTCCCAAACTGTCATCACCACTGAGCAGCTTTTCAGTCGGCAGCTGTGACAGAAGAACAGCTAAACAACCTGGAATCAGCCAGAAATGAACCCAACACCATTCGCCAAACTAAACGGGCTGTAAGATGCTTTACAGACTGGCTGGAACAAAACAACATTAATACTGATCTGGCAAAAACTGACAAAACTGAGCTAAACTTGATATTGCGGCAGTTTTGTGGCTCAGTCTGATTTGGTCAGACTCTGAAGATCAGACTACACGTTTGGCGAATGGTATTGGGCTCATTTCTGGCTGATTCCAGGTTGTTTAGCTGTTCTTCTGTCACAGCTGCCGACTGAAAAGCTGCTCAGTGGTGATGACCGTTTGGGAATTTAGTGTAAGGAGCTGGAGAACGAACTGCCGGCTGTGCAGCGAGTGGGCGGAGCTCGTTACTCTGACGTAGCAACAAGCTGCTTGTTAAGGAACTATAATTTAGCGGAAGGAACTGCGAACATTAAAACATATTAAACGCCGCGTTCACGGCCCAGTTTATTAATTTATTACTTTGTTTATTTAACTGTTGTTATAAATGCAATAGAACACTCGAGGAGTGTGTTATTGTGAAATAACATCGCCTTCGGCCCGCGTCTGCAACCAAATAACAGGCGTGATGTTATTTCACGATAACACGCTCCCTCTCGTTCTGTTGCTTAATTATGAAAGTTTAGAAATTCTAGCCTCTACAGCCAAATAGTGCATCGTTTATCGAGTATGGATATTGCTGAATCCCAAATTACTATTTCTTTAGCTATATTATTCGCTGTTGGGGTGCAGGAACCGGTGTTTAAACTCCTACGTAGTGCACTATGTAGGGAGCCATTTGAGATTCAGACCCAGCGTGAGAAGAGGGGCGCTGCTGGATTGGTGCCAAATAAGACTCTCTGATAATTTGGTGACCAAAAAGTGCTTATAAAGTGAATGTTTTTGCATTAAACAGCGTTATCATATGTTCATTGTTATACGACAAACAGTTCACTGAAAAGTTCATGAAATGACTGCAATGTACAGCGATGGGTGACCAAACATTCTTCTCCTCTTTCAACGGTCCATGGTTGCTTGACAACGACACCATTCGCTAAAGGAACTACATTTCTTGGCCGAATACTTATGTCGATAATTTAAGTTATTATAAATTATAATTTTCTGAAAAAGTGTGTATTTTATCATAGAAGTGAGTTTTAGAACAGCCTTCCCATGATAATATCTCAGTAATGCATGGCCTCTCATGGCTTATTGCTTTGATATATTACAGTTACCCTTAGACAAAAATACTAACCTTATTATCTACTACAGCAGCCCATGTGCAAAGCCATGACAGTTTGTTTTATCATTACGTAGCATTTGGCTCTGTTTAAGAGCTCAACAGTCTCATATAATGTCGGCAATAATACCCCTTCCTGCCAACGTTGTTTGGTTGTTGCTCAAAGTAATGTGTATAGAATGTGACTCTTTAAAAAGAATATCGAGGTTATTGGTGGGATTTCCAGCACTGTGTTGATGAGTGACAGGTCTGAGTTACTGCGGGGAACCACAGACAATCCCAAACCAACCCATGAGCTCTATTTTCAGGGTAAGACTGATGCTTCTCTTGCTGAACACTGCTGGCAATCTAAAATAGTTATTATACCCACCTACCAGGAGGGCAGAGGTGCAGGAGCTCAAGCCTCCCCCTGGGGGTCTGTCTGTGCAGGTGCTTGCTGGTACTCCAGCATATGGCAATTATTGCATTACTTCTAACATTGTTCTCTTAAAGTGTCATGTCTGTATGGTTGCTTTGACTTTTGAGTAGCAAGTTTACAGCCTGAGCTTTAGAGCCATAATTCATACAATGTTCTCCTTTGTGGTCATTTAGGTGCTTTGTTCCCATCTGAATCCAAAAAAGAGAGTATGGCCGAGGTTAGCTTGATCTGTGAAGAAGACCTGCTGGACTCCATTTTTCAGGCTTGTGACACCCAATGCAGAGGTACATCATTTTAGAAGTTTATTTGGGATGGGGTTCTTGCTAAAAATGTATAATTATTTTTAAAAAATAAATAAATAAATCAATGGCAGAGTACATGCTGGGTGTTATAAGACAGAATGATACCTGAAGTAAACTTTATTTTTGTGAGTTACCACTATTTTTATTATTATTATTATTATTATTATTATTATTATTTAACACTGTTATTTTACTATTCTGTTTACATTTATGGCATTTGGCAGACACTCTTGTCCAGAGCGACTTACAATTTGTAGGTGAAGGTAGTGTTAGGAGTCTTGCCCAAGGACTCTTATTGGTATAGGGTAGGGTGCTTACCCAGGTGTTGAACCCCAGTCTACAGTATAGAAGGCACCCACTACACTATACCAACCACATGTTAAAAACTCAGACACGTGTAAGTTCATTGATTGTTTTGATTAGTAAATAAAATGGCTATATTTGCTTTGCAGGCAAGTTTCTCTAGAATGGAGTGTTTTACATCAGTCAATTCTAAAAGATTGATTTTTGTAAACATTTGGTAAAATTAGTGGAATTGCTGCTTTAATAAGGAGAGACAATACCCTGTTCTGTGACCTCATTAACTCATTAAGAGAGCATGAAATGTGGTTGACATGTATTTCATTTTAATAACTTAACATCCGCCTTAAAAAAAGCACCATGTTTTTATATATGGCTGAAGCAGATTTAACAATTTAACTGACAATAAATGATGATTAAGTACAGATACAACTTCTGAGGCCCCCTAATCCTCCCATGCACCCCCCAAGTGCTGATTATCTTTTATGATAATGATAACTATCGCTGTATGCTGTTAATTGGATGACCAGTATATTGATGTATATTGATATAAAACAAGTATATTGATGAGCATCTGAGTATATTCTGTCCCATGTGAACAATATCTAACTTCGATTTTGTCCCATTTTAACAAGTTCCAAATTTTATGAATTAACAATGACACACAGTGTCACTGATGCATCACTCATTTTCCCTGTGGTCATTTCCGTGACCTAAAACTCCAGGGGTGCTTCGCATCTAAAAATGAAAAACATGGGAGGTTAACATTCATTTATTTGATGCCTTATTCGAATAAGCAAACAAATGTTATGTGTTTGGATAGCTGTATATTAAAATACAACTACAACAACCCCCCAAGGACCCCATCCCCCCTAAAAACTCCCGTTGTCCCCATCCCCAGGGTTGTTTCAGACCTGTGGGGAAACACTGAAATGGGATCATGCTAATTGTTGACCACTAGCTTTTACTAAATGTTAGCCATGGATAGCCAAAGTATGAAACTGTCACTGGGGCAGTGCCCCTCTTGTCACTGGGGTGGGACCCTCAAGGGTCCATCTCAGTACCTTTAGTCAGGAAACGTAACTGAACCATAATCCACTGAAATGATATGTTCTAAGCTGTACTGACTCCACACACCCCGCCTCGTCTCCAGGCTTTTATTTTACTGTTCTGTTTTAAAACATTCGGTTATGAAAAGGTACAAATACGAACTTTTCACCTGGAAAAACTTATTTAAGGTTCACAATCAGACCTTAAAACCACTGTTGTACCTTTGAGGGAACATTTACACTGTTTGTACCTTGATGAACAGAAAATGTACCTGAACAGAACCTTTATTTCTATCATTTTATAGTGAATTCTGTGTGCACATGCTTTATGTAACAGACAGTGAAGGATTCGTGATGAGTGGGTGACTCGGAAAGAGGATGATGCTATTTGTAGCGGTTGTTTGCTTGACCTTCTGAGGGCTCCTGGTGGTGCTGCTCTGTGATGGCAGTAGCTATAGTAACCCGGGCCTGTCTTTCACAGGTAAAGTGTACGTGTCGCACATCGTGGACTACCTAAGGCACACGACCAGCCGCAGCTCGGAGGACAGCGGCCTGGAGGAACTCTGTAACATGCTGGATCCTGAACACAAGGACATCTCCATAGACCTGGACACTTACCATGCCATTATGAAGGAGTGGATCGAAGACTGTCGCAATCAGGGGTACCTATACACTGTGAGGTTTCTGAGGCTCTGGTTATGCCCTGGGTGGTGGGGTATCTCAGGGTGATGGGGACTTTGAATTACTGTTGTTTGTTTATATTGTTGGTTGTCTCAGGGGTGGATGTAATGATTCTGGGGCCCTGGGTGTGAGACAGGAGCGGGGGCCCCTGGGTGTGAGACAGGAGCGGGGGCCCATGAGTGCACGTTTCTAAATTAGTTGAGGCTCTGAGCTCCTGAGTGAAAAGGAAATCAACTTAAATTCAGCCATTGTGTCTAATGTTTCTAGTTTTAAGGTTGTGGAAGAATATTGTAACATTTTTCACGTAGGTAATTGTATTTAGAGAAGTTCTCACTGTATTCACAGATAATTTTGCTTGTTTTATCAAAAGAATCAACATAATCTATACTAACATTAATACTTGCATTACGTATGATCTGCTGAACCTGTGCACTCACGATCAGCAAAACGATGGCACCTTTTTTGAAAAGTGTGTGTGTGTGTGTGTGTGTGTGTGTGTGTGTGTGTGTGTGTATATGTATATGTATATATATCACACACACACACACAGATCAGGCAAAACATTATGACCACCTCCTTGTTTCTACGCTCATTGTCCATTTTATCAGCTCCACTTACTATATAGGTGCACTTTGTAGTTCTACAGTTACAGACTGTAGTCCATCTGTTTCTCTGCATACTTTGTTAGCCCCCTTTTACTCTGTTCTTCAGTGGTCAGGACCCCCATGGACCCTCACAGAGCAGGTACTATTTGGGTGGTGGATCATTCTCAGCACTGCAGTAACACTGACGTGGTGGTGGTGTGTTAGTGTGTGTTGCGCTGGTCTGAGTGGATCAGACACATCAGTGCTGCTGGAGTTTTTAAACACCTCAGTGTCACTGCTGGACTGAGAATAGTCCACAAACCAAAAATATCCAGCCAACAGCGTCCTGTGGGCAGCTTCCTGTGACCACTGATGAAGGACTAGAGGATGACCAACACAAACTGTGCAGCAGCAGATGAGCTATCGTCTCTGACTTTACATCTACAAGGTGGACTGACAAGGTAGGGGTGTCTAATAGAGTGGACAGTGAGTGGACACAGTGTTTAAAAACTCCAGCAGCACTGCTGTGTCTGATCCACTCAGACCAGCACAACACACACTAACACACCACCACCACGTCAGTGCTGAGAATGATCCACCACCCAAATAGTACCTGCTCTGTGAGGGTCCATGGGGGTCCTGAGCACTGAAGAACAGGGTAAAAGGGGGCTAACAAAGTATGCAGAGAAACAGATGGACTACAGTCTGTAACTGTAGAACTACAAAGTGCACTATTTGACTTCGGCACTTTTACATATAATTTCCTTTGTGAAATTTGTGGCATCACATGAACAATATTACTTTTTAGCAGAGGCAGCAAATCATACTACATAAACAATTATTGTTCCAATAAGCACCAACTTGGTGGCAGTGCGTTATGCTTTACTTCCTGCATATTTATGCAGATTTATTAAAAAAAAACTCATGCTTTTATGCACTTTTAGTAGGATTAATCATAGCTTGAGTATCTAAAACTAGTCTGACAGCGAAATTTGTTAACCTTTTGTCTTAGTTAACAAAAAAGGTTTTGTGAAGCTGAACACTGGAATTGCTTTATGAGACAGAACCCCTGGTTAGATGGATTTGTTCCCTGTTTAGATTTCAGGGTAAAGATCAGAGCCTTTTGGCAGTGTGAACAAAACACTGGTTTGCCCACCAGCTAAGCCAACTTCTTGCTTTAAAGAATTTTTTAATCAGCTTGCGCTGGGTTACCCGGATATCCTTGATAAGGCCCATATGGATTCGAGAACTTTGTTGGATTTATAGCGCTAGCATTCCATCTGCTCTGATATTTGTTGCATGTGTGGAACTTAAGTTTATCTCGTGCTGATGAAATGTGCTAAAAGTACTGCATGTGCCAAGAACTGAGCTGGATATCTCAGGCCAGCTTTTGAGAAATGTTTTTGCGGCCCAGCCAAATTACAGTCCAAGATTTCTGTCATTCCAGCTTTGTGAAAGATGCGTAACATTCCAATTATTTGTCTCAGGAAGGACGGTAAAGAGGACTCGACTCAGGAATCATCAATCAGACTGCGGGACAACCTATCAGGTGACACTGCTGTAGATATTCTATACCTTTCAAACACTCAGTTCATCAGTGTGACATGATTTGACTCTCTCTTCTCCTTCCTGCAGCAAAGAGATCACTTTTATTGAATATGACCTCAGGCAGCCTGGAGGCGTTTGGAGGGGAGGCGTCCAGAGCTGACTTGTAAGTATGACTGTCTGTGTGTGTTTGTGCTTTAATAAGCAAGCGTACCAGTGACTGCGTGTCTCCCTGTGTGTGCAGTGCATTCCTTGTGTAACTGTATTTGTTGTATGTGGCTTGTTGAACAGAGAGACGTCTGATTTGGTGTTCTGCGTGGCTGACTTGCAGTTTAATAACCAGAAACTGCAGGAGGAGATTCGGAAGCTGAAGCAGACTGTGGAGGCGATGGAGGACACCAACCAAAAACTTATCGAGGAAAACGAGGAGCTCAAGACTCAGGCCAAAGTGTACACAATCTGCCTCTGCCATGTTTACCATTCGCTATAAAGCAACACTGCAAAAAATAGTTTCTTGTCAAATAAAATCTTAAATCGAGTTAATATATCCAGTATTTCCCCTGTTGAGATTGTTGTAAGTGTATTTTAGGATTATTTGACTTAATTTTAAACACTTTTTTTTTTATTAAGTAAAATTATCTCACTATATTGGCAGATAATTTTGCTTGTTTTGAGAAATGTGCTTCAAACAAACTAAATTGTCAGTATAGTGAGAATTTTACTTAATAAAATTACTTAAAACAGGTAAACAATGTCTAGAAATAAGCTAAATAATCTTATAATAAGGGCACAACCATCTCAAAATAAGAAACATTAGATATATTGACTAGAATTCAGATAATTTCACTTGACAAGATACTATTTTTTGCAGTGTATACTTCTGATAAAAGGGGAATTCCACTGATTTTTCAGAATTTCAGGTCATTCAGAGGGGTTTAATGTAAAATGGATTATTTTAGAGAAACTTAGTCAGATATAGCCTTTTTATTTACTGTCCAAAACCATCCGTGAATCTAAATTTGTCTTGAGTTTTTACATGTAATGATGTTGATGATAATTATGGTGATAAAATAGTGGTAATTCTGGGAAAGCAAAATATTTTTTTGGTTATTATTTTGTCGTAGAACGCCCTGCATGTACTTCTCCACCATGAATAAAAAAATAAAAAATGTTTTCAGCCAAGGCCTGATCTCAAAACTATCCTAAAACAATATCCCAGACATCAGACAGTGTATCCATAACCACTTAGTGTAATAAATCTCTGTGACGTAGCTTTTAGAGGCAGTAAACACTTCAGACATCTGGTTCCTATCACCACCACAAATCAATGGCTTTGTTTACAGCTTAACCATTTTAATTACGTAGAACATTGGAACTTCCCTCTAAGACTGGGAGGGAAAGTTCTTGAGCAATCTCTCTCTAAGCCTGCTGTGTTGATCATTACTCGCTGCGTAATTCTGCAGTGCCCTTTTGCCTACTTGCTGAAGTTTCAACGCTTCTTGTCTCACTGCTCCTCTCCCTCTCTTCTCCTGCAGGGGGCAGCAGCTGCTGCAGAAGGAGAGGATGCTGAAAGAGGAAGTGGAGGAGATGAAGCTGAGTTTAAGCTCTTCAGAGGAGAACAGAGCGCGGGCCTCGGCTCAGACCAAGCAAATGGTTGGTCAGCAGACTCACCTAATGCTGTACTGCGGTCAGTCCGGGCCCAGTTTCCCAAAAGCTTTGTGGTATTACGGTCATCTTAACTGGTGGACGGAGCTCGCTCTAGCATTTAACAGTAATCTTTGTGCTGAGATGCCAAGTCAAGACTTTGTCATTTCAGCTCTGTACAAGTACACAGTAAAATGAAACAGCAGTGCTCCAGGACCAACACAGGAACACAAGTGCAAGTCAGTGCAATAGACCACTGTAGTCGTGCCTCATTCTAGTCCTCCTTATGCCCATATTAGAAACTCCGGGATAGGCTGAAACTCCGTATCAAAAAATACTACCCGTGTTAAAACTACGAGGCTCAATTTAGCTTCTTTTTTCACGGCTTCTTGTTTGAATGTTCCCGTTCCACCTTAAATGGTGCAGCAGCTGTGACCAGCTATCACAGACATTAGCAAACAAGACAAAATACTGACCTGTCGGTCAGTTAATGTTACTCAGCTGTCAAGCAGAAATAGAGAAACCTCCTCATATCAGGCCTTTCAACCCTCCATTAAGCTGAGGGCAGTTTCTTTTTCTCCGGCTGCTTGTTCGAATTTTCCTGTTCCACCTTAAATGGCGCAGAAGGTCAGAATGTAACTGCCGCACCACTTAAGGTGGAACGGAAAAAGTCAAACAAAAATGTTTCGAGACAGTGTCCTCAGAAAAAATGTTACCAGCATTAAAATAATGATTAAGATATTCTGATATACTCCTAAATCAGTTTATCAGGGGGTCAGCAGTGACATTAAGTCTGTACTGGATTAGTCTGAGTGCAGTATGTTTGTAGAGCTTTTCAAATCAAGCTAAAAGGAGAGATCTAACCTGTTTCAGTGAGCATCGGATGAAGGACAGAGAACTGCAGGGAAACCTGCTGATTCTGTTGTTTATTTGTTTTAGCAATATTCATATTTCAACTCTTTAACGACCTCGTAATTCGGAGGATCCAGTGGTATTCGGGAGAAAAATGTTCACAGGACAAAACGTGTCGGGTTCTGAACATTTTTATTTAACACAGGGGGCGACAGATGCGATTTTCCAAAAACCCTATTCGTTCTTGTCGTAGAGAAATCGGGCTTAGACCCAGAGTTCCTAATATACAGTTCCTACAAAATGACGACACGACTCCAGTGGTCTATATACACAGTGCAGACAATACAGTACAATAAATAAATATGAAAAAACCTACAATAAATACAAAACATAGCACAGGTCTTTGTGACTGAGACACATTTAATTTACACTGAACTGCCAGTTTATTAGGTATATGCCTTGGCTTGGCTCGACTTGACTTGTTGTATACCTAATAAACTGGCAGTTCAGTGTGAATTGCCAGTTTATTTTATATATATATATTAGTTTATAGGAACTGCCAGTTTATTATGTATATGCCTACAGTCATTGGCCTTTTTAGCATTAAGGTGCACTTTGGTGCATATGGATGCCATATAGGCACATTGTAGATTTACAATGAACAGCCCCTCACTCTCCACCCCTCTATCAAAGGGAGAGGGACCATCATTAGACGACATCTAATGACTTTGAATCATTCTCAGCACGGATGTGGCACCGACAGGATAGCACTTATGGTGCTGGTGTGAAAGTATCTGGCACATCAGTGTTGCTGGGTCTTTACACACTGTTTGCATACTGGTCAGATTATTAAGCATACTTCATACACAGTATACAATAGTACAGTCTCTATTTCAGAGAATTCTTGCTAGTTTAAGGATGAATGTTGGTAAACACAGACAGACCCAAGCCCTGTAACATTTGTCAAATATATTTGTGCCTCTCTGGTTTGAAGCTCTCGCAATTGTACTTTGATTATAGAGCATGAATATTTTCTACTGTCAAAACATTCATCTCTGTTTTACCCACAGGAACGAGAGAACCAAGCTCTCATTACAAAGATTGCCTCTGTGCAGGAGGAGGTAGGGTTTCTCTTCATCCATCCGTCTATTAATTCAGAGAAGATTTATTTAGCAGTAACTCCATTAACGGACTGCATAAACAAGTGTATGAATCATTTTAGCTCTGTGGTGCAGCAGCACAAATTGCTTATCTGGAGATCTTTCTTTAAGCAATGTAGTGGAGCATAGCTGTGCACTGAGTTTGAAGTAAAACTATACAATATACAGCTACAGTGAGTGTGTTTACATACACTTAATAAACCGAGGACTGCAGAAAATCAGATTTTGTAGGTAATCCAATCAACACATTTACATGCACTTGAGTAATCAGATAATGGAGAAACTCCAGGTCAACATGAGTCAGACAGTAATCAGATTTCTGCTTTGCAACCAGCCAGTAAACTCACAGAAGAAGACGTGACGTAAACGTAACGTAAAACTCAAACTTCATACCGCGGCTTTTTTTTTTTAAATCATCACGCCTCTTGAAATATCGCACCCTGAAAATATGAACATACATCATCTAGAAGATGAAGAATATTTAAATCCTTCATTTTATATTTGGTTTCAGCGTTGCTCCAAAGTGTTTTGCTGCGTCTCACGGCGACGCTGCTCGCTCCTTTCCTGTACTGCCATGTTTTCGTACATGCGCAGACTAAGAAATCCGAAAGATAACAGAGTAAGAGCTGATTACTGAGCTAAAATCCAGCTCTCTATCAGATTTCTTAATCAGAGCTCTAGATCGGAGTATGGTGTTACATGACCATCTAACCGGATAACTGCAGAAGTCCGATTATGATGGGATTATTGAGTGCATGTAAACGCACTCAGTGCTGTGCAAAAGTTTCAGGCACCTAAGCACATTGTGTAAAACCATTTATTACATCAGTAAATGTGACTTTGCTTGTAAAAACACTATATATCATTAGAATAAATGCAAGTAAACATAAATACAGTAAAAGTAACAAGCAGTTTAGCTCTAGTGTAGTTGGTTCCAGATTTCTCCTGGGAATCTCAGACATCACATAGATTTGTTACAGTCCATCAGCAGCATGCTTGTTGTAACATAATGAAGTATTGATTAGGTATTGATTGATGACCACAAATAATACTGGACTTCCTCTGGGAAGGGTTTGAAAATGGTTAAACACTTGGACAGAATTCTTCATTCGTTATTTGTATTTATTCTGAGATAATTTCTGGCCAAATAAAGCTTTTTAGCCAGATAAACAGTTTTTTAAACATGACTTTCTCAGGTTATATGGTGTATATATAGGTATATGTAGATAGTTCTTGCTCTTTTCTTCTATGCTTCTTTGCCCAACTCTTACTTCCTCACCTTTAACTTCATTTCTCTCCTCATACCGTCCGTAACTGCCCTACCCAATATCAAGAACATCAAAGTCTCTATGGAGGTGGATGGGCTTCAAAAGAAGATGAAGAAACTTTGTGAGCTCAACGCTGACCTGCAGGTTAGGCTTTGTTTAAATAACGTATGACTGTTTTTAATCTGTTTTGTGCAAATATGCAATCTCAGAAATAAAGGCAGTACACTGTCACTGGGGCAGTGCCCTTTCTGTTACTGAGGTGGGACCCTCAAGGGTCCATCTCAGTACCTTTAGTCAGGGAACATAACTGAACCATAATCCACTGAAATGATATGTTCTAAGCTGTACTGACTCCACGCACCCCGTCTCGTCTCCAGGCTTTTATTTTACTGTTCTGTTTAAAACATTCGGTTATGAAAAGGTACAAATACGAACTTTTCACCTGGAAAAACTGATTTAAGGTTCACAATCAGACCTTAAAACCACTGTTGTACCTTTGAGGGAATATTTACACTGTTTGTACCTTGATGAATGAAAAATGTACCTCAAGAGAACCTTTTATAAGTTTAACACCCCCTATTTTTCCAGTTTATGGATATTTATGCAGTTTAATGTCTCCATGTACTGTGGAATTAAAGCATAGAACAAATAAACCATTGTCGATAAAAAAAAAATAAATCATGGAATCTTTTTAACAAAATATAACCCAAATTTCAGCTCCTCAGAGACCTTTTACAGACGACAGCCGAACACACTCGAGACATTCTTTCTACAATGGAAATTAAGTATTGTTCAGAAATTTCTTCCCAATAATGTTGCAGAAGTTCCCACAAATATACTTTGCTTTCTCCCTTCTCTTCGTTTCATCCCAAACCAGCTCAACGGGGTTTAAGTCTGGAGAGTGTGCTGACCATTGAAGCTTGCCCTCTTGCTCTAGTCTTCTGAGGAAGCTGTTACATAGCCTGGAGGTGTGTTTTGGGTCTTTGTCTTGCTGTAGGATGGGCGTAGACCAGAAGGTGTTGAGTGTTGCTGCAAAAATGCTGTGGTAGCCCTTTGGTTTCAGGGCGCCAGTCACTCTGTGCAACACACTGAGAAACCATCCTTTCACTCGACCGCGTACAGAAACACTGCGAGATGAACCAAAAACTTCAAACTTTGATTTGTCGGTCCATAAGCCCTTCACCTGTAGGCCTCAGTTTTCCACTCTGCCTCTAAACCTGCAGCTCGAAGCCTTCTCTTCACTGTTGAAACTGAAACCTGCTTGCTGCGACCAGTGTTAAACTGAGCTTGAAGGTGTTGTACTGTCACGCAAGCTGTAGACTGCTGAAACCTGTCTTCTGATTGTGTTGTGGCTTTGACCTCTTCCTGTCAGTTTCCTCCATTTTTAATGGTGTAGGAAACTGTACTCACTGACTTTCTTCACATTTTAATTTCGTTTAAAGGAAAGACCTACACTTCTAGGGGTTTTAGCGGTCAGTCTGTCTTCATTCACCTATAATTTTCTTGCCATTACGACAGCAGTACACCACGTCTTGCAGAGCAATGTTGTCCAAAAACTGCCCTAAAGGATGTTGTAACATGGCCTGTTATGGCCAACACTGCTTTTACACTGATGGAGAGTTTGTGATTGACAAAACGGTTTAATGTCTCCATGCATTGAGAAATTAAAGCATAGATTACACAAACAGTTGTGCTTAAAATATGAACTTGCATGAACTTTCAAAGCTTCAGCTTTACTTAAGTAAGTCTTTGTCTTGGGCCCAATCCCATTTCTTATTTTTACCCCTACCCCTTGTTTTTGAGTGTCACCCTAACCCCTTGGAACTGAGTTTCAAGGGGTAGTGGTTGAAATCTTGCCCTGCAAAATGGGACCCTCAAATAAACAGAACATCACTTCATTAACAGCTACTAGCGCTGCTCTGTAGGCGACCCTGCCAGTCTGCAGTGACAGCAGAGGAGGGTAAAGTTCAGCTCCTCACTGCTGGGCTTTAGTTACATTTGGGGCATCATATGCCTTCAAAGAGGGGGGCAACAAGCTTCTTGTTCGAATTTTCCCGTTCCACCTTAAATGGTGAAGCATTTACATTCTGGCGCTTTGGGTGTCAGTACAGCTGGACTATTTAAGGTGGAATGGGAAAGTTAGCTAGCTAGCTACCGAGACGTTAGCATGCCGTTAGTGATTTTTTTTATGCTTGTTGTGAAGAAAATGACCATAATACATTGAATCAACATTCAACTAAGATAAAACAATGGTTATTGTAATTTTTTAACGGAGAAAATTCTCACATTTGTGGGTTCCTTTGGTCTCTTCTTCAGCCGTCTTGCCGGTTTTTCTCTTTTTCTCATATCACTCTGTTTGGAGTCTCTGAAAAACCTCCGTTTGGAGGGTCATGTAGCCCCAACACTTCACCCTCCCCCTCTATCTCAACAAGAATCAGGACACCCTACCCCTAGACGTGAATGCGCAAAACGGAGGGCTAAGGGCTGAGTGGTAGGGGTGAGGGGTGAAATGGGACTGGGCCGTGCTGTAGGATGAGCCCCTGACCAAGTAGGCGTAGACCAGAGGGTGTTGAGTGGCGCTGCTAAATGCTGTGGCAGCCCTTTTGTTTCAGGGTACCAGTCACTCTGTGCAAGTCACTGATTTTTGGATGCAGCAAAAGAGCCTCAGACTGTCACGCTTCCTCCTCCGTGTTCAACAGTTGGTGTCACACACTGAGAAACCATTCACTGTACCACTAAACCTGCAGCTCGAAGCCTTCTCTTCACTGCTGAAACTGAAACCTCTTATTTCATCCAGCGTTAAATTAAGCTTGACGCTGCTGACAGCTGAAACTTGTCTTCTGATTGTGTTGTGGCTTTGACCCCTTCCTGTCAGCTTCCTCACTGACTTTCTTTGCAGTTTAATTTCTCTAAACGAAAGATCTACAATTTTAGTGGTCAATCTGTCTTCCTTTGTGTCTTTTTCTTGCCATTATGGCAGCAATATGCTACACCCTGCAGTGCAGTATTGTCCAAAAACTGCCCTAAAGGATGTTGTAACACAGTCTGTTCCAACACTGCTTTTGTACAGATGGTTTGTGATTGACAACACAGTTTAATGTCTCCATGCACTGAGAAATTAAAGCATAAACACCTTTTTAAACTCCTCAAAATAGCCACCTTTTTCAGATAACCGCTGAACGCATTTGGATTGTTTTGCATCAACTTTCATAGCTTAAGCTTTACTTTTATTGCTGGGTCATTCTATAGAAACGTCCACTTTTCTGTCTCTCCATAGGAGTCACTGGTTTTACTGATCATCACTGGCGTTACATATAATAAAGGTAACACCAGAGACATTTTTGACACATGCATTTTACTAAACGGCTGCTGCAGAGCATCAAACCACACGCTGTCAATCATGGAATATCCACTAAAATATGTAATTTAATCCATTTGTATTCTATTTTTTCACAATGACCTCAGAATAAAGTCGGTCACACCAGTGACTTCAGCTAAAAGCTTCATATGAAATCAGGAGCTAAATGAGAAAATCTCTGATAACTGAAAGACACAGTGGACTCACCATGAGCTTTTCTTCATAGATCCTCAGAAAACAGGTAAAAGGAAGTCAAGTGATCAGTTTTTTTTTTTCTCTTTATTTCAAAATAAGAGATTTGTTTGTTACGCAGTAACACCAGTGACACGACTCCTGGGGGACAACAACTTTCATTATATATTTTATAATATTTATTTGGCATTTGTTTTCTTTGTCATTTAAATCATATATTTCATAGTCATGTATAGATTATTGCAGTTAAAATTGCAGAAAAACGTTTTACCCTAAAAATATGGCCTCAGCCTTCACACATGACTGAGGACGAGCTCTTCTGTGGTGCTGGGAATTCTATATGATTGATTTACAAACCAATATTGCTAAATTGAGGCTCAAGAAGGTGTAATTGTTAAAATAACTTATTGTTTTATTTTAAAATATAAATAAATTGTAACCCTAACATGTTTTTTTAAGTGTAATATATCTGTAAATGCTAGGGACACAAAAATGGACGTTTCTGTAGAATGACCCTGCTGCAGAACAGCTGTAAGTTGTTAACCAGTGACTTGTTCCCTGGAAAAGGCCTTTTAATAACTCAGTTACATTATATTTCAGTTTTCAGTTTGTTGTCCAGTTTTTAACCTCTGGCAGTTTACCTCTACCCTCTAACCATTCAGGCTATTCACTGGACCTGAACTGCTTAAATATCAATGGAAAAACTGGAAAAATGGGGTTTTCTAAGACGTTTGAACTGTCAGTATACGTGACCACTGGGAGGGTGAATATGTGATTGTGATTGTTCTGTATGTTTACTGCCAGGCCCAGGTCCATTCGTTTGATGCTGTGATGGCTGAGAAGGACAGAGTAATACAGGAGGTGAGTCCGCCGTGTCTCAACATCGGAGCCGAGGAGGGAGAACCTCACTCATGATTTGAATGCATAAGTATACCTAAAGCTTCAAAGGTTTACAGGCTAACTCAAGACAGGTTTTGTATGAACTGCTTCCAGCTTAAACCCAGACTTCATTAGGTTTAACCTAAAAAAGGTTGTGACCTAAAGCAGTGATTCTTGACTGTCCTTTCAGGAACATTGTTTTCCCTGAACTAAGATGCATGGTTTAGTTTTTGGGATAATTATCAAGGCCAAAGAAAAACATGTAAACCCATTTTTGCCGATTTCTATTTTTCTACGTCATTCTAATACGGCAGTTCTCCTTTACATTGTGTGAAAATTTCATGATTGGACCAATAGAAATGCCCCAAAATCAATCAGAATAAAATCTCTTTACATTAGCTTACAATTAAAGTTAAGGGGGCTTTTGCGCTCTCCTATTTTGGAGATACTTGTTTTTCTTTGGACAGTGACAATATGTGAACAAAGTGGGCAGTGAGCGGGAGAGCCATCAACGGGATTGAGAGCTACTGGCTTAAAGGGCCCGTATGCTACAGTTTCCTTTATTTTTTGGTCACACTTTATTTGGATGATCCCCTATAGTTGATCTACAGATACTTAAATTGTGAACAATCTTTCTGATGATATTCAGTTGATTATCAACAACATTAAGGTTAAGATTAGGTTTAGGAGTAAGTGTAGGTTTGGCCTTAAGGTTAGGGTTGGGTCTAGGGTCAGGGACAGATTTAACACAGACAACTTCAAGGTCAGTTGCATTTAATAGATATTTAGTTGAAAATGAGTTACAAATAGACTGAGCGTCTACAGTGGACCATCCAAATAAAGTGTTACCCTTTTATTTATTTGCTTATTGTACCAAAACTCTCTTTATCCCTTAAAATCAAACAGGCTGTTTTGTTACTGTGCCTGTAAGAGAAATATATGTAAATGCAGTTCTGATTGTCTGCCTTGTATTGTGCCTCATTCAAAAAGCAGTCCGAGCTGACACTCCTTATGACTTCAGTGTGAGTGGGCGGGACGAAACTGCCATAGTCAGAGTAGGCGGATGTATTTAAATTTTGTTTTTTCATGACATCACACAAACGGTGACTTCAAAACAGGCTATTTTTCAGATTTGTTTCCATATATGGACCGTAACGAATGGTATGTTTTAAAACATTAACGTTTATTTACTGTATCAAACTCTTTTATTTGCGAAAAACTAAGAAAAACTTGGTTTTCCATGATATGAACCCTCTAAAGGAACAATGCAAGCAGTCTAGCAAGCATTCTATGCTATTTGATATGGGTTTTGCCATTGATTTCCTACCTGCTTTCTTGTAACCTTTTCAGAAAACCAGGCAGACGGAGGAACTGAAGGCTGCTGTTATGGAGTACTCATCGGTGACGGAAGTAAAACCTTTCACGCCTCCTTCCTTCTCTCCTTCTCTCTTTCTCATCTTCTCGTTCTCATGTGAGGGTGTCACTAAACTCTTTATTGTTCTCGACAGTTGCTGAGGGCTGAGAAGAGCAAGCTGGAGAGCCAGATGCAGCTGATGCAGCCCGACATGGCCATGTAAGAATGGGCCCAGCGTTGCACACACACACACACACACCTAGTCATATCAGGGATTCATTTGACACAGTCCGTCCTGCTCTGCTGTTTGTAAATGAGTCACCAGAGACGTCCCTTTGTGTGTCTGTGTTCCTATATGTGATGGCGTTCAGTCCCGGGCTCTCCCTCTCCGTGGCGTACAGGCTGAATCAGACAAGTTCAGGGTCTCTGGAGACAGAGTTGGCGCTGGCACAGCACAATCCCCTCGAGGTTTGTCAAATATGTGTGTGTGTGTGTGTGTTTATTTGAGAACTCCTTTGTGGATCGTTACCTGGCCATGATTTTGAGTGGATCGCACTCTCGACTCCCACTTGCACTTAACCGCTGTTCAGTTGCCTCTCACTGTGTATCAGCACTCAAAAAGACTCAAAAACAGCCTCAAAAATATTGCAAAAGCTTAAATGAAGAGCACTATTTTTGGCACCTGGTATTTGCAGATTTTTCCACAGTGATTGTGGGGTAAGAGCCCGTCCTGCAAGTACCGACCTTGTAGTTTGCACATTAGCAAAATGTGCAGATCTAAACTCTGAGAAAAAGGCACTAAACTGCCAAGATTACATCCTCAGTGCTTTTAGTTAGGCAACGTAATTTTACCATAACTAATTGCAGTTAAATTGTAAGTGTTGACTCCACACACCCTGTCTTGTCTCATGTTGTCATCACAGAATATCTGTCTAACATGAACCACAGCTTAGCTTTAGGAACACAGCTTTAGATTGTTCCCACCCACATATAGCCCAGACTTTCTCAGGGTTGTCCCTAGTCCAGGGTTGGCAGCCATTTAATCCTTTCAACAAAAATCAAACCACCTTGGGAGCCACAACATTTCATGTCTATTTTCACCATCTTGGCTGTAAACATGTCTCAGTGTGTGTTAATATAATAGTATAGACTGAAAATACAATATAATGAAAATCCAGACTTACTTTGCTCTGCTTTAAGCTTTAGCTCAGCTATAGCCGCTTTTCTCGCATCTCCAGCAGGAAACTTTTCCACAAAAGTAGAACAGTTTCTTGTAAAATGTCTCTCAACGTTCAACTTTTTAGTGTTTGTCAGTTTCTCGCTGCAGATTAAACATATCAGGAAACCAGCTGGAGTGATTATAAATGCAAATAAGTCCATTCGTCTCCAAATTATCTATGTTTGTCTTCAGTCTTTCTCTTTGCCGTTTCGTTAACTACTAGCTAGGCGAGTTGTCTGCGTTGCTATGGTGACCAGCAGTCTGCGCTGATCTTCAGGGTTAAAGGGTGAATTAGCAGTTCTACATTAACTCCAGCCTTTAAAACCATTTATTGTTAAACTGTGTTGAACGATCAGCAGAGCTTTATTTTACTGTAAAGGAGGATTATTTTATTTTTACTTACAAATCCAATGCTGCTGTGGAGCCACAACAGGGCAGCATAAGAGCCGCATGCTAACCCCTGTTCTAGACATCATTAGATCACATCTGGCTCAAGAGGCTAACATCTGCATTAAGTGGTATAATTAATAACATGGCTGTTCTCTGCTATGCATCGCTACATCTCTATGATGCACATTTTCACAGCTCTGCATTGCGTTATCACAGTGCATTCTTACACCCCTACTTGTTTCTTCATTAGTGTTGAATATCTTTGCAAGACAAGAGTTACTAGGGGTGTGTGTGTGTGTGTGTGTGTGTGTAGGGTGCAGATCATTTCTCTTCCTCCATGTGTTTGGCCTCCCCACTGGATGAGACGCTGGACCGTGAGGTCCTTCTCCTCCTGCAAGGACCCACGCCTGAGCAGATGTCTCTGGAGTTCAAAACTTTGATTAACAGACTGGTAAACAGCTTTCACTCTCCATTCTTGCTTAAATCCACAAATTTTTCAAAATTTCTGCGTAATTAAATCATGAAAACGTAACCAAAGTTCGTTCAGAGTGGTTTGGTGTGAAATGCTCTGTTCCAGAGGAACTTACCGAGTCAGAACTGTTCACATTGGTGGTGATAGGAACCAGACGTCCACCTCTAAAAGCTCCCTCACAGAAAGTTATACGTGAATGGTTATGAATTCACTGCCTGATGTCTGTGACATTGTTTTACGATAATTTTGAGAAGGTTTTGGCCTTAAAATAAATTTTTTAGTACACACTCATGCTGCTTGTTTTGGTTAACAAATAAAACGTTTGTGTTGTAGCCCTGGTTCCTGTCACCACCACTGTAAAGAAATCTGAGTCAGTCAGTTTCTCTACAATGAACTGTTTCACATCAAGTCACTCTGAATGACTTTGGTTACATCTCAGAGATTGAATTATGCAGAAAGTTTGAAAAATATTCAGAATTTCCCTTTAAAGCAAACATTTACCAAACCAGTGGTCACTAACACCCCATCCAAGAACTAAATCTAACCATCCAACCAGTCAGTTTCTTCAGGCAGCCTTAATTAGCTGGATCAGGTATGTTGGATCAGGGTTGGAGCACTGCAGGAAAGTACATCTTCAGATGGAGGGTTAGTTACGACTGTTTTAAACAAACATTTCACCATTTACTGCTCACTCTCTTACAGCAGCACTCAACAACCATCACGCAATCAAGGAGCCTCTTCTGTGGCCCTTGTTGCATTGCAGGTTTAACATGGTCATTCCCAATACTCTACTTTGCTTGTACGAGTGCTAAATGCTAATAGCTGACCTCAGTGTTTATTGTAGAGGTCTGCACGAGATTTAATCCCGCTCCCGCCCGCTTCTGCAGAAAATCGGAATCATTTATCCCGCTCCCACCCGCAACCGAAACGTTTTGACCCACTCCCACCCGCTCAGTTCTGTCAAGGCGAACTCACATCCAATATCTGACAGTCTTTTCACAAATACATTTTCCTCTGCTGAAATAACATGGCAGTCATGGTCATCAGGCTCACTGTGAGTTACTTCACCAAATCGCATTTATTCACAGTAAACACAAAGCAGGAATTAAACCACAGAGCGGGTATTTTTGGTGTTTTGCTGAGCAGCTGTGACTGTTGAACTGAAGGCTCCACCATCTCTGTGAGCTATGAGAATTTGCGTGCTGTTCGTGTGATCTGTTGCTTCCCACCTCTTTAGAATGACTTCATTCATTTTAACTGTTTTACTGTTATATATATATATATATATATATATATATATATATATATATATATATATATATATATATATATATATTTATATTTATAAATAAATATATTTATTTATTTATTTAGTGATTGTTCTACTTTATTCAGGCTGGTTTCCCGCCCGCTCCCATGCACAACACTGACGATTAGTCCCACGCTGCAAAATACTGTGGCGGGTTCCCCTGGAATCCATGGGAGTGCCTAAAAATGTGGATCTGTGTAGTGCTGTGTGGGCTTTAACTGCATGTGTGTTCTTCAGAGGCGGGAGTTTGAAGAGGACACCCTTGCAGTTCTCGCATCACTTCGAGGCCTAACGAACAGCCAACAGGACAACAGCAGTGGTCTTAAGCTCCAGGTGAGCAGACTTTTATTCTTAAAAATTCTGAATAGTTTTGTACAGATGTAGAGTTTTAGGAAAAACTTTAATTGGCTTAGAACTTTTAAAACATGTGGAGGTTCTTAAAACAAAATGTTCTTTTAAAAATGGTTCCTTTAAAAGTCGCTGAAAGGACGAATCATTGGCTGTGTGTGAAATAGCCTACTACATACTGCTCGTACACTGATTGTGCTCAAAGGTAGTAGGTAGTATGCTGTATCTGTCCAGTATGAATTTCTCCAGTATGCCAAAGATACAGTGACTTACTGCTCTGGGAAATTTTTCCAGTACGCTGCCCGAGCTGCGATATACTGCATCCCAAAATGCAATGCGTCCATTTGTGGTCGTAACCTCTCACGTAACTGGCTGGGTATTTTTAATAGCTCTGGATTCAGCATTTCTTCTATACATTAAAAAGAGCTAAATGAAAGAAATGCAGTGCAATGCTGAAGCCTCGCCAGCTCTCTCTGCTGGTCTAGAAGACACACTTAAAACGTGAGATTAAACACTTTATTTTATTTTACACAATTTATATAGCGCTTTTTACAACAGGCAGTGTCACATAGCAGCTTTACAGAAAAATCCAGGTCCGAGCCCACATGAGCGTCGCCAGTGGCGACAGTGGCAAGGAAAAACTCCCTAAGAGCAAGAGGAATAAAACTTTAGAGGAACCAAGACTCAAAAGGGGAACCCATCTTTCTCTGGTTGACACCGGATAGCAGATACCGGATAGCAAACAGTAACACACAAGCATATAAAAGTTGTATAATTTGCTAACTTTGTCTATTTAAAAGTGAACTTTTCTGCATAATGTGAATAAAACAGTAACCCAGCTGGACAGTCCGCTCAGCATCGTCTTTCTTCGGGCTCCCATATGAAGTCACACTGCTGACATGAAGTCACACTGCTTACATTCAGTCAGACTAGCTCATATTACCCTCTATGAGCTGGTCTCGAGCTGGTCTGATTGCCAACATCAGGCACTGAGCCAGTCTTGTCGCACCCCTGTCCTGTAGTACGGCACACAGCTTGTCATATACTGGATACTGTACTGTATATTAGGGCTGAAAGATTAATCGTTTTTTATTTCGAAATTGCAATTTGAAAATTTAAAAAAGTGCAATTTTCAAATCGCAAGAGCTGCAAACTTAATTATAGCAATTTTTTAACAACAATGTTGTCTTAATTGGCCAATATTAACCATATCAGAGGTCGTAAACTGCCTGTAGATGAGTTAGACCAATCAGAAGCAATCAAACATCTCTATGCTGTGACAACACAACCACAACGAAGTGGCAGTGTTCAAATCACAAGCCTGGAAAATGGACGTTCTGGCCTTCTTGGCCAAAATAATAGGCCAGGACTTCAATTTTCAAATTTTAAAGTTATCATGATTTAAATCAGTCGCAGAAACGATCAGAAAATTCACAATTAGAATTTTTTTTCCAAATCGTTCAGCCCTACTGACTACTACTAATGAAGAGTATACAGTATGTTATTTCGATCACAGCCTTTGTCTTGTCAGGCCCTGCACACACGCAGAGGCTTGGAGGCCTCCTGAACTCTAAGAACATCTATGACGGCATGTTTTGAAGTTTAATTTCTTGTGTTTTCAGTGTTTGTTTGAAGTCTACTGTCGACTCATCAATAACACTAAATAATTGTCAATGAAAGACTTGAAAAGTGAGATAAAACAGTTAGCCGTATTAAAGAGCGACATCTTATTGTGTCTATAACATAACAGTTTGCTCTTTGTGTAGGATTTATACAGCAGTGCAAGCAGATTATGCTGTACCATTGCTATACTATGGCATCATTATGGTTAATTAAGGGGGTAAAAAGTCATATAATTTACTTGTAAACAAAAGCAGCCCATAATCTTCATGTGGCACAGACAGTCACTCTGACAGATCGCAGTACAGTGTTGAGGGCGATATGGTTTCTGTTCTTTCACTGCACCATAAAGGAAGAAATTTCTTGCAGCACGGTTTTATTTTGAATGTTAATGTCTAACTGAGAGGAAATGGAGGAAGCTGTAAAGTAAACTATTTAAAAAAATCCTTGTATGATACTAAAATTGAGAAACATTGAAAGAGACTCACAAGATAAATCTAATAAAACACTGCCTACAAACAGTTTATCAGACGCGAGAGCTGTGTGTGTGTGGTCCTAATATTCAGATGAGCATGCATGATTGACAGCCCTCGGTCTTACACTCTGAGCTGCTACACCAGAAGCAGAACTAAACACAACAGTGTGAGTGAAGCAGGGCGAAATGAGCGAACAGGCTCTTCACAAATGGGTCGTGCTGTAGACTTTATAGACTGTCCTCACTGTGTCCACTAAACATTATCCGGCTTCTATATGGCGACATCTTAAAGAAGGTAAGGATCATATTCACCTTACTGCTGGATGTGTAATGCTGGTGTGGCTGGTTGACCAAACAACTGAATGAATGCATGTTCCTGTTAGCTCAGTAGTGCTTGCTAGGTCAGCTTTCGCTTGGTGGTTAGCTTTCTTGTGGCTCAAGTCTGTCCAACTTGAAGAGAGAGATGGAGTCTGTTGGGGAACATTTTGATAAAGCCACATCAGCCTTGTGATTAGTGAGAATGCTGTTTACATGTGCACGACCCAAGATTAGGACTGCCCAGTTTACATCAAGAGAGGAGAATATTGGCAAAATACTTTGGCCATTTATTACACATTGGAAAGCTATTCACACTTACTACTTTGTCTGTGTGTGTGTGTGTGTGCGTGTGTGTGTGTGTGTGTGTGTGTATATATATATATTTATATATGTGTAGCTGTCAGAACAAAACCATGTATCTCATGAAAAACGTGAAAACTGGAGATACAAGATTTTGTTCTGACAACAGTTGGAATATATATATATATATGTGTGTGTGTGTGTGTGTGTGTGTGTGTGTGTGTGTGTGTGTGTGTGTGTGTATTAATTATAGTGTGCCCACAAGATCAAGATTAACTTACTAGAAAACACAAGTAGATTTAGGTTCCTAGGGTCTTTATTGTTTCCATCATTTAGTAATTGATAGAATTAATCAATTATAGAAATGATCAGAGTTTAACCTGTTTGACCTTTAGTTGGGCTTGATGTTGAGTGGACATATCTGCATTGCTTACATCACCTTAGAGAGAGAGACAGAGCTGGAAATGTTATTTGTTTTTTGGTGAAGCGCTGCTTCAATGCATGAGCATTTAGATTACATAATAAGACTATTGTCCATTCTCATCTGAGGAGCACTACAGACCACATTACATAACTATCCCCGGCCACGATTGGTGTGCACACTTTTCCCTACTTGTTAACCGCACACACTGACGCCAAGTCAGCTCATCAACGCAAGCCAAACTCTCACTATGCAGAGAGGCAGCGTAGAGGGTCAGGCCACATACAGACTAGGCTGGGTGAGTGTCTGTCTTCGTTACTTCTGACCTAGAATGGATGCCACCATTAGGCCATTTTCAGATGATCTGTTTTCTTTTTCTTGTGTGCTTTGTGTGAAGTGTTAATATTGTTGGTTTAGCACCATCTGCTGTACTGGAGTCGTACAGACATGCTGAGTTTTAACATTAACAAAGTTTTGATTCTAGCATTTGTGTTCAATTCTTTTGTGACTCATTATACAGCACAAGTGGCTTTAGTGTAAGAAGCAAGTTGGGCACTTTTTACATCTATGCAGTGTGTAATGTCAAACCATTATGTACTGGAGCCTAGTATTGTGTCAGGACCTTTTTTTTAACTGAGCCAGATCTTCACCATATTGATAAAATTCCATTTTACTACATATTTTGACTGATATCTCACCTACTATTGAAAACGCATTGGTGAATTGATGGTACACGATCAAAGACCGGCCTGCATTTTGATCTTGACTCTTCTAAGCAGACTTAAAACACACATCATGAGCACATGTGGTTGGTCTTGATGTTCACAGCGCAATAAAAAAAAAAAAAGGTGTCAAAAAATGTGGGTTAATTTGCATGTTGCAGCCTTCTGTGGTATCCGTCCAGGCAAACGCAGTGACAAAAACTGTGATAATAATTAAACTATATGCAGTGCAACCCTGCTACCGTTATGTCCCTCTTCAGAAGGCTTTTGATACTGAACAGTGAGGAGAAACAAATATTCAGACTCTTTGCGAGTTTTACTTGCAGTACATATATTTACTTCAAATTTATGCACAATGTCTGTTCAATTCTTAAAATAGCTTAGAAATATGAACCAAATTTGGTGTTTTAATACAACCCCATTTCCAAGAAAGTTGGGACACTGTGCAGAATGTAAGTGAAAATGGAATGCAATGATGTGCAAATCATGTAAACCATATTTTTAAAGGAGACGACAACATATCAAATGTTGAAACTGAGAAATTTTATTGTTTTTTGAAAAATATTTGCCCATTTTGAATTTGATGCCAACACCACGTACCAAAAAAGTTGGGACGGGGGCCTGTTTACCCCTGTGTTTCATCACCTCTTCTTTTAACAGCACTCTCTAAGTGTTTGGGAACTGAGGAGACACTGCTGTAGTTTTGAAAGTGAAATGTTTTCCTGTTCTTGTTTGATACAGGATTTCAGCTGCTCAACAGTTCAGGGTCTCCTTTAACTTGTATTTGTGGATGCAGTGATGAACTGTGTTCACAGACAGTGGGTTTCAGAAGTGTTTCTGAGCCCATGCAGTGATTTCCACTACAGAATCATGTCTGTTTTTAATGCAGTGCTGCCTGAGGGCCCAAAGATCACGGCCAGCAAATACTGGTTTTTGGCCTTGTCCCTTACATACAGAGATTTCTCCAGATTCTCTGAATCTTTTAATGATATTATGTACCAAAGATGATGAAACACTAAAGTTCTTTGCTATTTTATGTTGAGAAATGTTTTTCTTGAATTGTTGCACTGTTTGATGGTGCAGTCTTTCACAGAGTGGTGAACCCCTCCTCATCTTTACTTCTGAAAGACTCTGAGATGCTCTTTTATACCCAATCATGTCACTGACCTGTTGCCAATCAACCACCAGGTTTTTTTTTAAGCATTACACAACTTTACCAGCCTTTTGTTGCCCCCCGTCCCAACTTTTTTGGAGCGTGTTGTTGGCATCAAATTCAAAATGGGCAAATATTTTCCAAAAACCAATGTTTCAACATTTGATATGTTGCCTTTGTAGTATTTTCAATGAAATATAGGGTTTAAATGATTTGCACATCATTGCATTTTGTTTTTATTTAGGTTTCAGTGACTTGCAGTTTTAAAACCCTCCATAAATTTTCCATGGGTTTCAAGTCAGGAGATTAGCTAGGCTATGCAAACACCTTGTTTAAAAACCGCTCTTGAGTTATTACATCACTCCGTGATTCTTTCAAAGGCGTGTAATGCTCCAGTACAGTTTGCAGAGAAGCAGGTCCATATGATGATGCTCCCACCATCATGCTTCACTGTGTTTGATTTTGTCTGAATGCTCAAAATGGTTGGAAGACATCAAGTTAATTTTTATTTATTAGATTTATTATCCAATGTTTTAGCATGTATGCTAGCAATTTTTTTTTGCTTTTATTTTCACACTCAACAAAAAATGCAGCTTTGCTTAAAGTAACTGTGGGCATTTGATTGAAGAAGCAAGATGTTTAATATGTTTATTTGGCTTGTTCTTTAATAGTTGCATACAATGCACAAAAAAGGCAAACTGTTAATCTCAATTATTTATAACAATCATTAGCTAAAATTTCATGATCATGACAGCCCTGTCCCATAAGGGCATGAAGAGTGGTTAGAAATAAATATGAAAAACTGTGGCCATTAAAACCAAATCTTTATTTATGCTTATGTATGCCCACTTTTTTGTTCATCAGCAAAGTCAAAATACATTATATGTGTACATTTGAAGTAAATATATGCACTGGAAGTATATTAAATAACACAAAACTGCCTGCATACTTGTTTCTCCTTACTGTATATGCGCTACTCTCGTCAACCAAGTACAAAGCTTTCTGTGGAACATATGCTCTCTGACTACATGACCTCATGACCTAGAGATAATCATAACTACCAGCCTGAGTGGTCAGAGTGGCTGCGAGTCAAGGCCAGCCTGCATTGCTAAAGCGATCTCGAGCGTCGGTGACGCTTTTCACGCTCCACATTGGGCTCCGCAGGGCCTGCAGGTGCAGCTGGAGCAGCGACGGCGCGAGTGGACTCACAGCCTGGAGCAGCTGAAGCAGTACACCGACTCTCTGGAGAAGGAGCTGCTGAAGATGGCCAGCAACATGCGCCGCTCCCGTACAGAGATACTGCACCTGTCTGTCAGGTGAGTGGGCGGAGTCGAGAGGCAGATGATATGCTACTGTTGTGTAATGTGAATGTGGTCGTGCTGAGCAGTTGCTTCTGAGTTGTTACATGAAGAGTGCCATTTGAGTGCACAATGTTTAATCGGTTCTGCCACGACAGAAATCTACTAGTAGATGTTTTTTCAAGTTTAAATATAAAAATCAGAAATTCATTATTAACAATGTGTATGAATCTTTTATTGCAAGAGGAAACGCATGTTTAAAAAAGTGTCTGTATAGACAGTTATTTACGTTCCATCTCAAATATTACTAAATACATTTTGTTGACATTAAATCATCCAGCCATGCTCTGATGTAAATCAGCTTCGACATTAAAGTCGAGCCCTTGCACCTAAAAAAAAAGTATACATGATTTTTTTTTTTTGTAAAATTTCTCATATTGTAAAAAAAAAAAAGGAGTATAGCATTGTTTGATGCCCTGTATGTAAAATAAAAGGGACCACTAAAATGTAAATATAGCTTTGTTTGGCTTTTTGATGTAAAAGGTTGTAGAAAATAAAATAGAAATCAAAATTACTTATAAGGTAGGGGCTCAGTTCATATCTAAGTTTAAAATTTAAACATTAATTTTAGGTAAAATTTAATAAGTTTTTATCCATGTGCTCTTATAGGTGACATGCTTTTTGTTTGTTTGTTTGTTTGTTTGTTTTTTTTAAATAAAATTGTTTTTTCTGCATTGCTGGCAGAGTTAGTCAAATATAACATCCACACTGTCACTATTTATTTATTAATTTATTTAATCGTTCATTCATTCATTCAACATTCACAGAAAAGTCATGTAATTATCTGTTAAAATGATGCTAAGAGGCAGCGCGGCAGGCACTTTAGCTTGAAATAATCCCCTCTGCCCCAAAATGAGTGTGGCTATAATTCATTATTTTGTGCCAAAATATAAAAATGGCTATGTTTTTATACCAAATATGCTTTTCCGTGCATATCGTGGATATTGAACTATTAACTGAGCATAATAATTGAATTGTTTTTGCTAGTGTTGTAAGGAAGCGTGACACTACTAAGCTTTTATATCTGTACCAACTTAAGTCTCTGAAAAATGAAATCATGATGTGTGTTGTGCATCATGAAAGTGTTTGTGCCATTTCACTGTGGACGAAAAAGGATTTGACTTTTGAAAATGAAAAAGATTCAGATTAGCCCGTCCATTTAGCACTGACCTCATGGAGCGACTCTTCTGTGGTTCATTAATGTAGACATTCACCGAGAGGTGTAGTGCCCATGTGTCAAACACAAGGACAGATCAGGCCCGTGGCACAATCCAAACCGGCCCTCTAAGTTATTTTGATTTTCTATTAATATTAGCCCATTTCACAATCAGCAGCACTACAATCCCCAGCATGCACTGCAACATAACTTGCACTGACGTCTCACTCCCAACAACAATGTATGGGACAGCAGTTTTTTACCTAATTGCACGTCATATCACCAAACATACCAGCTGCGTTTCAGCTGCAATTCAACCAACATAAACACTGTAAACACTCAGCAGCTCAGAAACAGATCCAAAGAATTAATGAACTTGCAGCAAAGAGAATATGCTGGGTTTTGAGACCGAGCACACGGGTAGGTTTAAAACATCTACATCCGGGGGACATTTAACCTCTTATTCTCCAGGGTATATTTTGGTTTGTCCGTTTGAATTTACATGACCAAATCATAAGGCAAATTATTCAGTAACTGCATAAAATAAATGTCAATTTTTACTTTATTAATTTATTTTTTGTAAAAGCTCCCCTCAAATTAACAGAACATGTTTTATGATCATACTCATATTAATATATGCTTACAATTTACTGCTGAAAGCCAAAAATCTTAGACGCTCTTTGTATTATTTTATAAAAATAATTTTTACAGAGCAGATCACTGAAGAGGCGCCATCTGTTTATAGTTTATAGCCCAGATTTGTGGAAAAATGGGTCGACTTTCAGTAGAGTTCAGCTTCTTTTATTATAAGGGTTTAAAATTACATCACCCATCTATTTGACTGGAAAGAAGACAGCTCTCATACGACCCCCACCTTTAGAATGTAGCTTATGAAATATGACAGTTATGAAGAATATAACGAAGAACCACCGGTGGTCTCAAGGAGTTGAAGAGGTTAAAGAGATTTTACAGTTATCTGTAGCTAATGTAGCCTAAATATATCAAGTATTCACATGTAATATTTGAAGGTTTACAGGTGGCTATATTTTGCTGAACACCCTCCGGCCCTCAGATTTGTTAAATTTTTTTAATAAGGCCCTTTTAGTGGTTGAGTTTGACACACCTGGTGTAGTGGAACTAGTTCAGATACTGTTTTATTGAACACACTTGAATATTTTCTGATTAGCTTATTTTAAGGTCTAAACTCGGGTGGAATTGCTCCTCTGGATATCTTCAAAAGTAGTCCTGCAGTTCTGAGGGGGAAGGCTTGAAGGAGAAATGCTAAAAATGCGAAATTTTCCTGCACACATGAACTCCATATATGCCAGCCCGGCTCCGTGGGGCCATTCTAGTTGACCTTCCCCTCCCGGCCATTTTTGGTTCAGTCTGAAAGGACCGACTCTACTTTGACACATGGCAGGTTTCCACGGCTACAGTTGAAGGGGGGGTGGGGGGTGGAGGTAAGATAAAAGGCAGGGGGAGACTGTTATCGGCCTGGGTGTGAGGACTTTGGGTGGTTTCGGGGACTGCAGCAGCTGTTTGGGGCCCAAGCACTGCGGCTGAACTTTGAGAATCATGGGACATTGCATGGCCATACGGATTGGGTACAGTATGTTCTGCTCTTCTTGCTACCAGTTATGGTCAGCAGTACTTATTCAAGCAATAATAGGTTGAGACTCTGTGTCAATTTAGCACCGGAGCTAGTTTTCATTCCACGGCCTTTATGTCGGTGTGTAGGGTGCAGGAGCAGGAGAATCAGAAACAGCAGTTGCACGAAGAGCTGGATCAACTGAAGACTCCGCAGGACAGCAGGGAGGCCAGCAGTCAGACGCCAGACAACGTGCAACAGGTACCCTGCTCAGCCTGAGCCATAGCACTCTTAGATGACTCCTATTAGGCACCTTTGGGCCTTCAGGCCTGAATGCTATTGAAAAGATGTATTATATGGTTTGAAAGCTTCTACTCCAAGACTTGAAGTTAGAAATAGAAGGCGGGTTTGTTGATATCCTCGCAGGCATCATGCACAGGCCAGAGTTTAGTCAGCAGAGGCTATTAGGAGCGATATGTGTGGGTGCATGAGTGGGTACTGTTTTCAGTCCAGCATGGAGCGCTCTTTCAAACTGAGAGATACTGGATTTTAGCCCAGCTTAGGAAGAAGCTCTCGCAAAGAGACACCCTTCATTCACTTTTGCATTAATATTTATATGTTTTTCCTGTCTGGCATCGCAAGATGCTTCTCGTAGGTTTGAGGCTCGGTGTGAATAAGTGGAATTTTATACTGTGTGGTATTTTCCAGAATTTCGGCACAGTTCGGTCACTGAGATGTAAAGTCATTGAGTGGTTTGATGTGCAATCCTTCATTGGGTCACACTTTATTTGGATGGTCCACTATAGACAGTTCTACAGATACCTAGGTACCAATAAGACTACCCTTATAAAGTGTGTATGAATGGTTCAAAGTTTATTAATGGTTATTAACTAGGTCATAAACATCTTAATTAATAAGCAGTTATAACACACAAATAATAAGGTCAGCAATGATCTGTTATTTGCCTAATCGTGAACCCACATTCATTTATATGCATGCTTAAGCGATAGTTCTTTAAGGGTTCTTTAGTAAAGAAAATGGAAACCATGAACACCCAAAGAACCCTTTGCATGATTAAAGGGACCTTGATTGTGAAAGGTTCTTCAGGTTGATGGAGAATGTGCTGTAGATGGTTCTATATCGAACAATTTTGAAAAGGGTTCTATATAGCACCAAAAAGGGTTCCCCTATTGTTACAATGTCAGGGTTGTTACAATAGAATAAACCTTTTTGATGCTATATAGAACCCTTTTTAAAAAGGTTCTATTCTCCATCAATCTGAAGAACCAATTCATGACGCAAATACCCTTTAATCATGCAAAGGGTTCTTTGAGTGTTCATGGTTCCATATAGAACCATTTTCTTTACAAAAGAACGCTTAAAGAACCATCATTTCTAAGTGTGTAGTTAAACTGCAGTTCTTGACTTCTCCATCAGTCAGCATTAAAACTGTCAGCTTCATCAGATATAACAGCTCACATTTTCCCCTTTTACTAATGTGTTATAACTGTTTACTAATGAGTTTAGAAAGTGTTTATGACCTAATTAATAACCATTAATAAACTTGTTTTGAATCATTCATAAACCGCTTATAAGGGTAGTCTTATTCTAAAGTGGTGCTGGTACCTAAATCATTATCAAACTTGATGTTCAGTTGCTTAACAACGTTAGGGTTAGGAGTAGGTTAAGGTTTTGCCTTGAGGTTAGGATTAGGTTTAGGGTTAAGAATAGATTTAATCAAATCTTTCATACTGAACTTGAAGCTCAGTTGCATTTATTGGAAATTTAGTTGAATATTACTTGTAGACAGACTGAGCATCTACAGTGGACCGTCCAAATAAAGTGTCACCCTTCATTGTAGTAAGAGTTACCACTCTTGTAACATTATCAACATTTCATAAAAAAGCTCAGAAGACTCGTGTAGGTTCACTGGTGGTTTTGGATAGTAAATAAAATGGCTATATTTGTGTTGTAGACATGATGACTCCTGGTTCCTATCACCACCACTGTAAAGACATCTGAGTCTCTGCAGTCAACCATTTCACACCAAATCACTCAATGTTTACTTCTCAGTGATTGAATTATGCAAGGATTTTGAAAAATCACAGAAATTTCCCTTTCAATAAGGTGCTTTACACCTATACGAGGGGTCACAAGCCAAATGTTAAGAGCCGTTTTGTCCTTTCACAAAAATCAAACCAGCTTGGGAGCCACAACATTTTATGTACATTTTACCATCTTGGCTGTAAATATGTCTCAGTATGTGCTGATGTGCTAGTATAGGCTAAAAATATAAACAAAAACACAGACTGACTTTGCTCTGCTTTAAGCTTTAGTTCAGCTATAGCCGCTTTTCTCACATCTCCAGCAGGAAACTTTTTCGCGAAAGTAGAGCAGTTTCTAGTAAAATGTTTGTCAATATTAAACTTTTACGAGGCTGAAGTCGCTTCTCATTCGCCAGCTTCTTGTTTGAATTTTTCCGTTCCACCTTAAATGGTGCCTGAGGTGCCAGAATGTAACTGCTGCAGCATTTAAGGTGGAACGGGAAAATTCGAACAAGATGCCGGTAAAACTGACTTCAACGTTGCAACTTTTTAGTGTTTGTCAGTTTCTCGTTGCAGATTAAACATATCAGGAAACCAGCTGGAGTGATTATAAATGCAAATAAGTTCATTCGTCTCCAAATTATGCATGTTCGTCTTAAATCTTTTTTGCTTTTTCGTTAGCAACTAGCTAGGCGAGATTATCTGTGTTGCTATGGTGACCAGCAGTCTGCGCTGATCTTCAGGGTTAAAGGGTGAATTAGCAGTTCTACATTAACTCCAGAGTTTAAGACCATTTATTGTTAAACTGTGTTGAACGATCAGCAGAGCTTTATTTTACTGTAAAGGAGGATTATTTTATTTTTACCTAAAAATCTAATTCTGCTGTGGAGCCACAACAGGGCAGTAAAAGAGCTGCATGCTGCCGACCCCTGACCTATTCTCTCTGAAATCAGGCCTTTTTTTTGGGAAGGCTACACATTGGGGCGAAAAACATTTACTCGAGTTTCGCATGTTTCTAACAAAACTGTCTTCTAAATGCTGCTCATCACAACTAGAACTTGTGCATAATCATGTGTATTCAGGTTGCGGGGGACCTGGACGGCTCGTCGCTGGAGTGGGACGAGGACTGTGCTCTGCCCACGTCTCCTCTTGGAGAGAAGCCAGCCGCGCTTGGGCTAGACGGAGTGGAGAACGGTCTGAGAGAACCTGTCCCTGAGGAAGAGGAGTTGAAGACCAAGAAAGTAGAAGAGGGCGATTGTGGAGAAGTTGTGAAGCGAGGATTGAACCGGGAGCGAGAGACGACGCACGATTCGGGAGTTGAGACCGAGGAGCTTGGAGGCTCCACCCTGTCCCAGAAGAGTCTACCAGACTGCATCGCAGACGGGGAATCATGTGGTGAGGCTGGCAATTGACTAGCTTTAAAGTTTTCATCTGTAAGATGTAACTTGCACCATACTTGCTTTTTAGACCCACAGCACTAAAGATGCTCGCACATCTGAATATTTGTTGAATCCAAAAAAAACTGCTGCGAAATGTGAGCAAAACCTAAAATGTTGCACTTAGTTTTTGCTCTAACATTATTGCATACAACGGCAACCAAACGGAGGGCAGAGCGTTACATTGCTGACCATAAACTAACAAAATAACCTTTTCGTTTGGTTTTAATTAAAATTATATGGAGTTTTACAGACCGTGGGGATTTTTGCAAAGATCTGGAAGGTTTTTGGCAGCTCAGTCATTCTGAACCAGGCAGAATGCTCACTTTATAACCTGGATAACACTAATGGGTGAGTCCTCTTATGAGATAACTAAACGATCTGCTTCAGATGGTTTTTCTGACAAGCCAGTGCTTCAAATTGGACACTTTGTAGCACTGTGAGCTAATAATCACGCTGCACAGCTACTGTAATCGCCCACGCGTTTTACTTTCCCTACAGTGGCACTTACAGCAGAGCTGCGCTCTCTAGCTTATAATGGCAGCGGGGGATCACAGGTGTGAGGATTTTGTGAAAGCCCTTCTCAACAATACATCAGAATCTGCCTGTGTACCGTTTTTACTACCATCTCACGAGTCAGGCTAAAAATCTCTGGTTTAAAAACAGTAGTTTTGGATATGCTTGATAATTTATGCTGAGTGTCACTGTGATGTAACGCTGACGCGGCGGTGGTGTGTTATTATGTGTTGTGCTGGTACGAGTGGATCAGACACAGCAGTGCTGCTGGAGTTTTTAAACACTGTGTCCACTCTATTAGACACTCCTACCTTGTCAGTTCACCTTGTAGATGTAAATTCAGAGATGATAGCTCATCTGCTGCTGCACAGTTTGTGTTGGTCATCCTCTAGTCCTTCATCAGTGGTCACAGGACGCTGCCCACTGGAACGCTGTTGGCTGGATATTTTTGGTTAGTGACACTGCGGTGTTTAAAAACTCCAGCAGCACTGCTGTGTCTGATCCACTCAAACCAGCGCAACACACACTAACACACCACCAGTGTTACTGCAGTGCTGAGAATGACCCACCACCTAAATAGTACCTGCTCTGTGAGGGTCCATGGGGGTCCTGACCACTGAAGAACAGGGTAAAAGGGGGCTAACAAAGTATCAGAGAAACAGATGGACTACAGTCTGTAACTGTAGAACTACAAAGTGCACCTATATAGTAAGTGGAGCTGATAAAATGGACAACGAGCATGGAAACAAGGAGGTGGTCAGAATGTTATTCCTGATCGGTGTCTATGGGTGGAGCTGATCTGCTGTAGGCTGAATAGGTGGATGTATGCAAATGTGTCGATTTTTATGATTTTAATACAAAACGGCTGTTTTTGCAGTTTAGCTTCTGTGAATGGACTATGTGGGCTGGGGAGTGACCTATGCCTCTTTGTTGAAAGGCTTTCCATAACATGAGCCCTTTTAGTTGCATAATTCACGTTTAAATGACTTTAGTGATGCAGTCATGCAGTCCAAAGGCTCCAAGGTAAGGCCTCCGGTGTTGATGTTGACACTGGTCTTGATCCGCTGATGCCCAAGAGGACACTTGTTCGGCGTCAGTATCCAAACCCCTTAGAGAATATAATCCTTTTTAATCCCCAGAGCCACAGGGCAGCCAGCCATCCCTGAAGCGTAACCCCAAGGCCTTGAGGCTCCAGAGGCCCCTGACTCCAGACCCCAGCCTTCTATGGCTGTTCTGCCTCAGACGCGCTGCCTTCTTTGGCTACACTCAGAGAGATTTAGGCTCTGAGAGGAGAGCTCAAGTGCTAATCCACTGGTCTTCTCACTGCATGACTGCAGAGCAGCCTTCAGAGACTCAGCGCATGATTAGCGGGACTCTGCTGTCATAACAGGAGTCAGGTCACCGTGAGGGCACGTGGGGTGGTGATGAGATTTTTGTGCATGTAAGTTATTGTCTGATTCTGAATTCTTTTTCTGTTTTTTATTCAGAAACTCTGCTCAGTGGTGACAGAGAACTCCAGGAACATGACGAACCTCAACAAGTATGTATTCTCTCTCTTCTGTTCCACTTAAGGCTGGTTTGGACTTCTGCGAACGTCTAGGCGTCTGACAACATACTTGCGCGTAACATACACTAGAGAGCAGAATGTGCAGAAAACAAAGAGGAAAGTCTTGCATTTTTGCTCTGTTGCTCTGAGATTTAATGCTCTCTCTTAGAGCTTGAAATATTTGTCCGAACTCGACTGCTCATGGACCCGAGGTCTGCGAGGCCTGCGCTTGGTAATAAACGAGACACAAACAGTGAATAGATTCAGTACAGTTTAGTGTAGTGCACTTGATTTGTTTGGCCAAAAATATTTTTGTGTTAAATATCCATGTAAAGTTGTATTTTTTTATATATGTTCTATGTTTTTGTATTAAAGAGGTGAAGTGTAACATCTCGCTGTATCAGCACAGCATCAGAACAGCACAGTATGGAAAGTTTATCCAGACTAAAAGTGTTTGAGATGCTGCTCAAAAGCTTTTGACCAATATGTGTGTTAAAGCAGAACTTAATTTTGGACCGCTTATTATTTAATATTTGTATATTGTTTTATGTTGTATTTATCCACACTCTAATGGTGCTTTTGTTGTCTCTAGGTGGTTCCCTGTCCTGTCAGGTTTCATTCTGTGGTTTGGGTCAATTTCAGGCAGAGTTTTGTTACACTCTGGTCAGTCTCAGGCTCAAACTGTGATGTGGGTCAGGTCATGTTCGAACAGAATTTTGTTGGGCTCAGGTCAGGTTCAGTCTAAGAACGCGATGCTGTACATAGAATCAGACTTGGACAGAATGTTTTTACACTGTATTTGGGTTTGGGCTGAAATGTGAGGCCCGTTATAAGCTCTACTCACGTCACTGGTTTTGTAACGTTTTGAGGATTGCTGTATAAATGTTTGCAGCGTTGCTCGTCTTCTGCTGACCGGTTTTCCAATTGTTCTGTTTAGTTTTGTGCTAGTTCTGGTTCGTCTCAGGTATTATTTGGGTCTCATCCCACAGGCCTACATACATACATACATACATACATACATACATACATACATAAATGTATGATTTTCAACAGCCAAAGTAAATCTGAAATATTTTTATTGTGCAAAACTGAAGTTGGCTCCTTATTGGGCAGCTTTTTGTTTGAATTTTCCATTCCACCTTAAATGGAACAGTAGTTACATTCTGGGATCTATAAAGGCGTCTGTACTGCTGCACCATTTAAGGAGGAACGGGGATTTTGAATAAGAAGGCAACTTCAGCTTGGGTCCAATTTCTTAACTCATTTGTCTCATAAGTGCATCCCATATATTTCTCGCATTGCCTCGCACGGTCAGACACTGCTAGAATTTGAAGAATATTAGTTATTCATGCTTCAGTACCAGCTGGTCTACGTGCACAAGACCGTGGCCTTGTCTGATATAGCTGACTGAGTCAGGTGGCTTCTCAAGCGGTGCGAGAGCAAGAGTGGCAGTTGCTCTGGTGTCCATGTTAGACTAAGGCCCAATCCCATTTCACCCCTCGCCTCTACCACTTAGCCCTACCCCTCTGTTTTGCCTAGGGGTAGGGCGTCCTGATTTTTGTAGAGATAGAGGGGTAGAGCGAAGTGTTAGAACTACATGACCCTCTAAACTGAGGTTTTTCAGTTTTGAGGAAAACAGAAAAAAACACAGGTGACTGCACAAGCGACCAAAGAAACCTACAAATGTGAGAATTTTCTCTGTTTAAAGTTATGATAACCATCATATTATCTTAGTATAACATCCATTTCAATGTATTTTGGTCCTTTTCTTCATAACAAGCATGAAAAATCGCTAGTAGTCTGCTGATGTCTTGATAGCCACCTAGCTAAATTTCCCGTTCCGCCTTAAATGGTGCACCAGTTACGTTCTGGCACCTCTGGCATCCACCATTTAAGGCGGAACGAGCAAATTCTAACAAGAAGCTGGTGAATTTGTGACTTCAGCTTCATATCACTGAAGAATTAGGGGTGGGCGATAATAAATAATTGCCCCCTCTTTGAAAGCATATTGTTGCCCTAAATGTAACTAAAGCCCAGCAGTGAGGAGCTGAACTTTACCCTCCTCTGCTGTCACTGCAGACTGGCAGGGTCTCCTACAGAGCAGCACTAGTAGCTGTTAATGAAGTGATGTTCTTTTTTTTTATTGAGGGTCCCATTTCAGAGGGAAGATTTCACCCACTATCCCTTATAACTCAGTTCCAAGGGGCAAGGAGACACTTGAAAACAAGGGGTAGGGGTAGAGAAAGGAAAAGGGATTGAGCCAAAGTCTAACCCCTAAAGAGTGGCCTTTCGTTGGACTAATTCAGATGAAATAGACTAGACAGCAGGAGATGGTTGAGAGCCATTTGAAACGTGATTGAAACCTCCCTGACTCAGCCACTCAGCTAAGGAGAGAACGTTTTGGGCTTATTATCTGGGCTTATTTGTGGTAACAGTGATGACAGAACTCATACCAGATGAAGAATGTCGACTGGTATACCGGCATCACCCACTGATGTCTATACAGGGATCTTCGCGGACGTATATACCGCCTTAAATCGCATCCTTTTCCAGCTCCTACAAGAACGCCTTCTGAAAGACAGTCATTCTAAGGCAGAATGATAAAAATTAATCTATTGGTTATTTGTATCGACTACAAGGTGTTCATTATCGATTATAGATGTCTGCCCTCCAATTCTGTACCACCTAATTCTGCATTGTAATGTACTTAGTGGCCTCACTGTAATCGGTCAGTGGGTCCATTTGACATCCAGCTACTACAGTGGTGACTGTTTTAAGAGAGGATGCTCCTTCCTAAACAGTGGCAGGCAGGAGATACCACTCATCTAAGAACCACTAGCGCTCGCATCCCAGAAACCACACGTACAGCCAGGTTGTCATGTGTATGGCAGTAGCAGCGATTTGCCTGGCAAATTCTTTGTGTGCATATTCAGCTTTTGTCAATATTCAAAAGGAGCCAAAGCAGAATGGGTCATCTGTGGAGCGAAACGCGGTCCAGCTCGTCGAAATGGAAGTTCACTTTGTTGACTCTTTCGCTGGCCCCTGCAGGAAGAAGCCAGACTCCCAGAATGCACTGGGCCTGAGGACACCCACGGGCAGGCTGTCTGTTGCGATGCGAACGAGTCTGCTTCTCTTTCTCACTCCCACACTCAATGTGCTGGTAAGATCTCTCTCATGCATTCATTTATTTTAGCTACTGAACGCTTTGCCACGTAGGGGAGAGAGAACTCAGCAGCGCACTGTTTTGATCAACGGTTTGCTTTCAGACTGCTTGCATGAACTCATATGTAGTATTTGCTACATAGTACAAGTCATATTATTTCATAAATCCAGAGATTTAGAGATTATATATAGTATATCGTATAGTCCTGTTGATTTTTCTTGTTTTCGTTATGTATTAACATTATGCATGATGTGTTAATAACATGCATTGCAAAATACTAACTAAATATACACTTAAGTGATTCATGCTTTATTGCCTAGGCAACCATTTGATTCTCAAGTGCTTTGATTTCTTCATGAAGAACACACAGTGTCTGCTTATGTGGCTTTACATGAGTGTTCGCATTAGTACTGGTAATGGTGAAAAATCTGATTTACACAACCGACCCATATATAGTCAATCAGCCATCCAAACGTATTCTTTTCTTAGTTTTATTAGTTTAGCGCTGGAGCTACAAGGCTATCAATGCTCTCAAACACTAAGTCAATAGTCGCCCAAATCTTTTCTGCAAATGCATCCCAAAAACCCATGCTCAGACCACACCCAGCTCTTCATTAATGTTGTACAGACTTGATTTAGGTCATTATCAATTAGGACAGGGTTTCCCAACCACCGGGCCCTGGACTACAAGTGGGTAACCATTGGGGGTCCTCAGGCCAATACTGACAGGGGCCCATTGATGGTACTTTGGCATAAAAATCAGTGATTAAAAAAAATAGACTTGACAATAATAAAGAAATAAAGTTTTCAAATGGTAAAGAATATTTATACAAATCCTGATACAAACTCGGTAATTTTTTGCCTTTTGATATGAAATATACCCCAACTTTTCAGTTTTAGCGACTACTGTAAAAACATTCCACTTAATTTGCTGCTATTCAGCCTGATTTTGTAGTGTAAAACAACTTTATGTTCACTGAAACACATCTCACACATCTGAAACACATCTCACATTGCAAGGTGGGCACCCAAACATGGCTGTTGACAATTTCCCAAAAATAAACTTTTTTAAGTGAAAAAAAATTTGCTTTAAAGCACAGCCTGACTTGCTGTGAGCTGCAGAAATGAACTTAAACTTCACTGTGTAGTTGAACACAGTGTAACATGGTCTGTAGGGTCCATAAGCCAGTGTGAGGTGCATGTGAGCGAGGGGGGAGGCAGATTTTGCAGGGGAGTCAGAATTTGACACAACACTTATTGTCTAAAGTGGCTATGGTGTTTGTTTCATGATGAAGTTTTGTTTATATTTTATAGCGCCCAGTAAGTCATACTGTGTCCTAAACCACATCAACAAGACTGTGCATACCTAATTAAGAACTGTGTGCTGGTTAGGAAGAAGTTTTGGGGAGTTATTTACCAAAATGATTTGGGTGACTATTGACTTCTTGTGTTTTCTAGAAATGTTAGCCTCGTAGCTCTAGCGCTGAACTTAAGAAGCAAAGTTTGGACATCAAACATGTCTTGAGTTGTCCACTACATCTGGGCTAAGTGGAAGATTGTGTACATTTGATTTTTCACCCAGATGTTCGTTTAAATGTCCTCAAGTAGGGCTGTGCTGTATATTGTTTGCTAAACATGAATTTTGGTCAGTGTAATATTGATATTGCTCATTTTGAAGCAGGTGAACCAAATCTGACGCTTGCGGAAGTCCTTCCCACTCCTCTGGCCCAAGACCAGGTGCCCTCAGCCCAGGACCTGAGCCTGCCCACTGACCTCACTCCCCCAAAGGCCTCGGAGATGGTACCTCCCACGAGCGATCAGCCTGGACCAGATGAAGCCGTTTCTTCTCCTGAGAGGTGAGAGCTGCGCCTCATCCTTTGATACAAGATGCTTGACTTTGACTTATCAACACCAGTGACCTGACACCAGTGCAATAAAGCGCTGGACAATTCTGAGACTCTATCAGCGTTTCGGCCTGGTCGCATTTGAAGTGCCTCAGTCACACCCTGAGCCTCTCATTTGCTAGTCAAAGTAGTGTTTTTTTTTTCTCCCCCTTCCTGGCTGCATTTGCTCTCTTTGCTTGGGCTTGTTAAGTGGGTTATCACTGGTGGCTGAAACCTCGCTTTGCATGGCCGCCACGCACCTGTGTGCTGAGGCTGCTGAGGCGGTTACAGCACACTGCCTTTACTGACTCTCAATAGCGCGCAAGCCCAGCTGCATCCTGGCCGAGAAAGCGAGCGAGAGAAGAGTGAGAAAAGTATGCTTCTCCTTTTGTTTTTATTCGTTTATTTCATTTATTGAGGAAGGTGTCTTGTCCTTGTCCAGGTCCCCACAGCAAACAGCCGTCACTGAGAGAGGACCTGAGGGAGAGCAGGACGCCACGGCCAGCATGAGCAACTCGCAGGTCAGTTGGTGGAGCTGGTGTGAAACAAAGAGGGGGAACTTGTTCAACTCTCAGTGACACTTGCTTCCCCCTCTCTCTCACTCTCTCTCTCTTTACTTCCTCTTCTCTTTTTCTTCCCCCTTTTCTTTCCTCTTCTCTTTCTCTCTCTCGCTCTCTGCCTAAAACGTCCTGCTAATAAGTTCTCTGTGAGTGGTTTGAGTGCACACTGATGTCTAATGACTAGCAGTAGCAGGTTTTCCGGGGGAGGGTGGGGGTGTCATTTATGGGTAAGCTGAATGCAGTGAACGTAGAACCACTGTTCTAGACCTAAGAACCAAGCTAAAGCCTTGCGGTTTTTGCTTTTAGTAAGTGCCGGCCCTGTGACCAGGTCTGAATTAGTCATTAAGTTTCTCTCTTTCCCCTCTGTGTTTGTTAGCATTAGCAGTAATTCATTTGGCTCATTAAGATCTCATATCTGGCTTTCCCTCAGTGCCATGCAGACTAGCTAATGCTGAGCTCTGTGTGTGGCGTTATCAGCATTAGGATCTATTTGGGGAACTTGTTCTAATACCACAATAAAGCAGTGTTTGAACAACATGCACTGTAGTTTGGTGGCAGAAATAAGTCTCTATCAGGGTCCGCCAGATTCACAGCTTCTGTTCTCCTGTGTTTTACGTTCTCTTAGGAAGGCAGCTTGCTACCGTTTCCTCTTTATGGTAATGTTGACCAGTCCCACGCCTCGGCTGGGTGGTTTTATTTAAGCGCCTCTTATGTAATGCAGAAGAGATGGCCACTAAGGTCCACAGGCTTCGCTATGATCTCTCTGGAGTGAATGTTTCGACGAGCGAGGAGCCTGCAGCTATTTTTTGCTTTGTTTCCATGGGATGCTCTTGCACAGAGAAGAATTAACTTGTCCATCAACACCCACTCCTTTTTTCTTTTCTCTTGCATTAATGTGAAAGTACAACTCCACTTAATCTTTACTTTTTTTGGGTAGAGAAGGTTTACTGGTCTCCCTTGATGTTCCACATAGATTTATTCGCTTGTTTTTACTGCAATATAACGTCTGGAGGAAAAACTGCTGGATCATTCTGGGCTTGTTGGGAGGTTAAGCACCAGCATGCATGGTGATAAACATGTCCTAACGCTCTTATGCAGCCCTCTAGTCCAGTGGTCAGCAGCCCTTATCCTGGAGGGCTGCTTTGTTGTAGAGTTCCAAGCCAGATGACCCTTTACTCACACAGCACTAATGCGTTGTTGTTGTTGTTGTTGTTGTTATAATATATAGTTGTAGTAATAATGATAATAATAATAATAATAATAATAATAATAATAATAATAATAATTATAATGTAATAATAATATAATTTAAAATTATAATTTTTTCATTCTTTGGTAGAATAATGGGATGCCAAAATTCATTGCTTTCTTAGTCTTCAAGATGGTCTATTTTTTATCACTGGTAGGGCTGGTTGAATAGCATAGTGGATAACAGCATCATCCCATATAGAGGAGATCGGAGTTCAGACTCCCTGTCGAGGCTGGAGCACCACAGTTGCACCAATAAGAGTCCTTGGGCAAGACTCCTAATTGCTACATTTGCCTACCTCTGTAACATGATAAAAATGTAAATGGCTTTGGATAAGAGCCTCAGCCAAGTGCTGTAAATGTAGAACTATGCTCCTAAAACTACATTCACTTACCGTTGTCCAAGGCTCTAGACCAGGGGTCGGCCACCTAACTGTTTGTCCTTTCAGCAAAAATCAAACCACCTTGGGAGCCACAATATTTTATGTCCATTTTACTGAAATAACATTTTACCATCTTGGCTGAGAATGTCTTAATGTGTGCTAGCTAATGTCCTACTGTAGACTAAAAAAATTAACATAAACAAAAACTTAACTGACTTTGCTCTGCTTGAAGCTTTAGCTCAGCTATAGCCGCTTTTCTCGCATCTCCGGCAGGAAACTTTTACACAAAAATGGAATAGTTTCTTGTAAAATGTCTCTCAACGAGAAATTTGTTATGAGGCTGATGTCGTTTCTGATTCTCCAGCTTCTTGATCGAATTTTCCCGTTCCACCTTAAATGGTGCCTGAGGCCAGAATGTAACTGCTGCATCATTTAAGGTGGAACGGGAAAATTCGAACAAGAAGCTGGTGAATGAGAAGCAACTTCAGCTTCTCGACTTTTCAGTGTTTGTCAGTTTCTCATTGCAGATTAAACGTATCAGGAAACCAGCTGGAGTGATTATAAATGCAAATAAGTCCATTTGTCTCCAAATCATCAATGTTCATCTTAAATCTCTCTCTTTGCCGTTTCGTTGCTACCAGCTGGGCAAGAGTCTTGTCTGCGTTATGGTGACCAGCAGTCTGTACGCCAACCTTCAGGGTTAAAGGGTGAAATAGCAGTTCTACATTAACTCCAGAGTTTAAGACCATTTATTGTTAAACTGTTTTGAACGATCAGCAGAGCTTTATTTTACTGTAAAGGAGGATTATTTTTATTTTTACCTACAAATCTAATTCTGCTGTGGAGCCACAACAGGGCAGTAAAAGAGCCATACGTTGCCAACCGCTGGTCTAGACTAACACATCTCATCATGGGGACAATAAAATATAGCATGCAAGATGTTTAAACTGATTTGGGATACTCGTTTTACTTGCGTGTGTTAATGTGACAAAGTCAGTAAAGCATCGTAAACAGTCATGAAATCATGAACATGCCATCCGTCCATGGCCAAACTAAATACAGCAGTGTTGAATCCAGAAACTGTTTTTAATTCCTGTGTAAATAACCTTGATCATCAAATTTCCTCTGGTAGCATAATGCCAGTTTCCATTAGCTCATCAGCTGGAATTTCCAGTATCAAACCAATGATTGTCTATTTATTTTTTAACTATTAAAGCTTTTAAGAGAATTTTAAGTAACATTTTTTTGCCTTAGTGTGTTGGAATTTAAGTCCCTCTGGAATTTGGTTGAATATGATAACACAGACTATTGTCCAGTGTTTACCAGCAGTGTCACATAGCGTCCAAACATTTAACCCTTTCAGACCCAAATTATGTTCTATGGTCTGTTCTCATTCTAACGACAGCCAAAATTGATAATAGTAATATTTGTTTATAATTGCTGTTTTCTAGCTGTTTCTGAAGCCCTGGTGTTCTGAAGAGCAGCAACATTCCAGTATTAAGATATTGTTTCATTAGAGTTATTATAAGAAACCCTGAATACAGTGGACTTTACGTGCAGCGTGTGTGAGTGTATATATGTGTGCATGTGTGCTAAGCATGAATTGTCTGTGTTGCTGTCTGACGTGTTTTGGGAATCTGTAGCTTTTTGTGTGGTGAATTCTGCCCCCACAACTCAAAACTGCCAGGACAAGCACCTCTTTGTCTGTCTGTCTCTCTGTTGGTCTGTCTCTCTATATGTGTATCTGTTTACCTGTCTGCTTATCGATATTGCTGTCTCTGTAAAGAAGCAGGCGGACAAGATACAGTGTGTGTTTCTGTCTGTCTGCTTATATATCTGCTTATCTACATTTGTGTCTGTCTATCTGTCTGTGTCAGTCTTTTTCTGTCTGTCTGCTTATTTATATAGCTATGTCTGGCTCTGTCTGTCTGTCTGTCTGTCTGTCTACTTAACTACATTACTTTCTATCTGTCAGTCGGTCTGTCTGTCGGTCTGTCTGTCTATCTCATTGTCTTAGTCTATCTGCTTATCTATGTAGGTGTCTATCTGTCTGTCCCTCTGTCTTTTCTTTTTCTGTCTGTCTGCTCATCTATTTCAGTGTCTGCCTGTATGTTTGTCTGTTTGCCTGGCTGTCTGCTTAACTACACTGGTGTCTGTCTGTTGGCCTGTCTGTTGGTCTGTCTGTCTCATTGTCTTTGTCTATCTGCTTAATCTATGTAGGTGTCCATCTGTCTCTTTGTCTGCCTGCCTGTCTGTCTGTCGGCTTATCTGTATCGATATCCCTGTCTCTAACTGTCTACCTGCTTCTCTGTGTCTATCTATCTATCTATCTATCTATCTATCTATCTATCTACCTATCTATCTATTGTCTATCTAGCTAATGCTGTCTGTCTGCTTCTCTATGTCCATCGGCGTCCATCTACCTGTCTGTCTCTCTGCTTCTTTTCCTCTTTCTGTCTCTCTATCTATATATCCATCTATCTCTCTTGCTCGCCCACTCACTCTCTCTGCCTGCTTCCTTCTGTCTCTGCCTCGTTCTCTCACTCATTCTCTCTCACCCTTAACCAGCCGCATGGCTCTCTTGCGCGTTATGTAAGAAATGAGCACTTGGAGCCTCCTCGCTCTCTGTGCTCAGCAGAGCATAGCTTCGCTTTTCAGCGCTCATGCCATGGGACAGGTACGGAGCCGCGTGCGCGCGCGTGTGCGTTTGTTGCTTACTGTGTCACCAGGTCATTTATGCTGCGTTACTTCCCTCTCGTAGAAACTGACACAGGAGCAGCCTTGTGACCTGCCTGCAGCCGTAGACAGGTAAGGCGCCCTTCTCTCATTACTAATATTTGAATACTGTGCATCACTGGACATCAGGCATACCCCCATTTTTTTCCTTTCCTGAAACGGAAGGGGTTCTGTTCAGCATGTAGTGACTGGAAGTTTGCATTCCAGGCATTCGTGTAATTTTATGTGCGATTCCCTCGATCTGATAATGGCGAGTCTGTCTCTCTGCACTCAGGAGGTGTCTGCTGCCCGTAGCAGAGGAAGAGGAAGCAATGCCAGAAGCGGGTCAGCAGGTGGCCTCGGCTGAGGAGGTCACAGCAGGTAAGAGGAGAGGATGCACGCTTTTGCTTCGTGCCAGCTCTGTGGCAGGGGAACCTAACCTCTGACGTTTGCCTTGGGTTCTTGTGTTTTCCTCCCTCTTTACTTCTCCACCTCCTCCACTATTAGGTGGTAAGGTCAAGGCGGGCAGTGAGGAGCCAGATACTGCAGCAAATTCTGACTGCACAGCAGCTGCCGGCCAAGCGAAGGAGCACCCACCTTCAGATTCCACCAGGGGCAGCCCTCCTCCTTTAAGCTCCAAAAAGGACTCCCTGACTCTCCGAAGCAGGTTCAAGAGAGACCTGGTGAGCGATTTTTGTGTGATTGTGAGAATTTATGGTGATGGCAAAAATCTAGTTTTTTTTCTGTCATGCGGCTCGGGTTACTTTCGTTTCACTTACAAGTATTTTGTTATTATTGAAAGATCTCCGGTGCGTCCGAGAGAGGCTAAATAAACATTTAACCGCAAGGTCTAATAGAGACCTGTTTGTTTGTTTGTTTGTTTGTTTGTTTATTTATTTTCTCAGGAGATGTCTCGCAGCATGGAGGCCATAGAAGAGCAGAAAGCCCAGGAAGACAGCGAAGCTTCAGTGACCACAGAGAAAGAAGGTAAACAAACCACAGACTAAAAGAAAACGTTCCCCGTTGCTGATGATGTTCATCACAAGAGAAAGCTGCTAGGGATTACCCAGCATTATGCAAATCAGGTCACCATAAGCTTTCATTCACTGTCAGTCACGTTAGCGATCGTGGCCGAAACCTTTCGTTCTTAGTGGTTTGTTTATTTTTTTTTTTGTGTGTGCGCATTCTCACTCTTAGGTGACGTGTCTGTCATTTCTGAAGATGCCAGCGATTCAACCAAAGATGATCACAACAGGTTATCATCATTTGAATGTTGGGTTAAATATCTTTTTCAATTTTTTATTTATAATCATATATATGTGTCTTATAACTTCTCATTCTTCTGTGTTTAAATATCTTCCCATGCAGCCTGTCTCAAAGTGACAAAGAGATCGAGGTGAGTGCGTTAAAGTGTAATTCTTTATTTATGAACCTACATATCACTGTTGTCGGAAGAAAACCTCATATCTCAAAAATGGTAACTTTACAGGAGAAGGAAAAAACCTACTTTACTTTTAACGTAAGTCAATGGAACCAGACTTTTTTCCAAGCCATTTTGGTCCATTTCTTATAGTCCATTCATCATGAAATTTACATACAATGTAAAAGATAACTATAAATTATGTCAAAAGCTGAAAAACACCAAAAATGGAGATACGAGGTTTTCTTCCGACAGCAGCGATATGTGCGTGTAACACATTTACAGTTGTATGCACTCCTGGTCAAATTGCATTTTTGCTTGTTTGTTTGTTTGTTTGTTTTTTGAAGTGAAAAGAAGCAAATGCAACTTCTAAACTGTTTAACAAAAAAAATAATTTCTGTCAATATTCATGCACAGTTACTTTATATGTGATTAGCTTAAATGGATAAAATAGTAATTGTGATATGTGAAAAAGCTTGTACTTAGTAAATCAATACTTAGTAACACCCTCTTAGGCAGATATGGCTTGCAATCGCTTTTGTACCCGGCGAAGAGTCTTTCTGTTCTTGTTTTAGGAATTTTCACCCACTGTTTCTTGCAGAATGCTTGTTTTTGTGACATTGCTGTATGCACAGCATGTTGAAGATCTAACCACAGAATTTAACCCTTGTGTGGTGTTCAGGTCTGTGTGACCCATTTTTAATGTTTACCAAAAGAAAAATTGATGTGATTTATTATTATTTCAACCTCAGATTCTTGGCCTTTAGTCATTTTCTGTGAAGAACATATAAAATAACCCATTTTCAGTGTCTTCACTCTGTTCACCCCCCACACATTTATATTACACATGTGGTGTTGGGTGAACCCGCGGGGAGTAAAAGTGTGGAGGTGCTGTGTCCTTCACTCTGTTCTCCTCCTACATGGCCTGCTGTTAGTGTGTGTGTGTGTGTGTGTGTGTGTGTGAGGGTGGACAACATGGACAGGCTGCTGATTGGCTACAGCTGCTAAAGGAGAACCCTACGCTGGACACTTGTGATATTTTAAACATCTGGTATTTTTACATAAATTATTTTGACTGTATTGATTTAAAATCAATAATGTGGTGGGTCCAGCAGACCACTGAGTAACACACACATCAACACCACACAAGAGGTAAATGATGTTCAAGCTAGCGGATGGTGAGGGCCTTTCCAAAAGCTTCAGCTTGCATTTCTTGAAGTAGTTCATGGTGGATTTTAAAGTCGCTGTTGCAGAAGTCTCTCTTTTTAGCTTCGGTTTCATGACTGACTGTGTTTCCAGAATTTGCTGGTATTTAGTGGAATACCTTTTGTGCTTGGGGCCACATATTTCTGTTGTTTTAGTTGTTTTAGTATATTATATATCTTCTTCAATGTATGCATCTGTATAATACCATACAGCAATACTTTTACTCTCGTTTTGCCCTTTAGTGTACTTTGTACTGCTGTAATAGACGACTTTCCCTCTGGGATTTATCTATCTATCTGTCTATCTGTCTATCTGTCTGTATGCCTGTCTGTCTGTCTGTCTGTCTGTATGCCTTCTGTCTGTCTGTCTGTCTATCTACCTACCTACCTTTAGTTTATTGTGCAGAACTTTTATTGTCTGTATGTCTGTCTGTCTCTACGTATCTGTTTGTTTATCCATCTACTTGGCCATCCACCCAGATAACTATGTCTATGTATCTCTGTCAGTTTTTATGTGTCTATCTGTCCGTCTGTCTATCGATCCGTCTCTCTATTGATCCATCCATCCATAATAAAAGTTTATTGTGCAGTGCTTCTATCTGTCTAACTATCTGCCTATCTGTCTATCTGTCCGTCTATCTATCTATCTATCTGTCTATCTATCTATCTGTCTTTAAACGTAAATCAAATTTAAAGTAGGTTATTTTCTAAAATAGTTTGCTGCAGAGGTTGTTTACTTTAGTTGTGGTTAATAGGGTGTTATTTGGCCAGAGGTTCATACAGCTGCAGGCTATATTACAGGTTTCTTGTCTGCTGATTGTGTTGTCGGCCTTCTTGTCTTGGCTTCTGTACCAGACGGAGTTCCACCGACTGGCTCTGGGCTACAAGTGTGACATGTTCACTCTGGAGAAGAGGCTTCGGCTGGAGGAGCGCTCACGAGACCTGGCTGAGGAGAACGTCCGCAGGGAAGTGTCCAGCTGCCAGGGTCTCCTTCAGGTGTGTGTTCTGTAGTTGGCCAGCAGTGTGTTTTGGAAATGTTCAAATTTCGCGTACATTTTTTATGTAAACTAAGAACTCTATACGCAGAGTTTTCACTAATATAGTGGACTGTGCAGAAGTCAGTCGTCACTCAGAGAAAGTATCTTTGCTAGTTACAAACAGGTTAGAGAGAAAGCCGGTCCTGAGCTCAGAGACTGCTAGAAACAAAGGTCCAATGTTGATACCTAAAAAAAAAAAACAGAATTAAACACAGCGCATTATAATACGTTTCTATAGGTGCTTAAGCAACTCAGTGCTCATTTAAGTGCCGTATAAAGAGACGGTCTTTAGTCTGTGTTTGAAGGCCGCAAGAGACTCTGCTGTTCGGACAGCCAGTAGGAGTTCGTTCCAACACCCGGACTCCAGGGCAGAGAAAAGTCTTGCTGCTTGTCTTCCACGCGTCTTGAAGGATGGCGGGTCGAGCCGAGCTGTACTCGAAGCTCGAAGGGCTCGAGGTACAGTTCGAGTTTTGACCATTGCCATCAGGGAGGGAGGGGCTGGTCCGTTTTTGGCTTTGTAGGCATCAGGGTTTTAAATCTGATGCAGCTACGGGAAGGGAAGGGAGCGCAGCAGTGGAGTGACGTGACTGAACTTAGGAAGATTGAAGACGAGCCGTGCTGCTGCATTCTGGATGAGTTGCAGAGGCTTGATGGCCGCATAGGGAGACCAGCCAAGAGCGAGTTGCAGGAGTCAAGCCTTGAGATGACCAGAGACTCAGAATTTTCAGTATTTAGTGCGTCCACTCTTAACATTTATTACAGCTTTCATTCTTTTCAGGAGACTCACTTTCAGTTTCTACAGGATAGTTTTTCCACACTTCTGAAGTTCAGTCCTGGAAGCTGGTTTTGCATTTTCGACTTCTTACCATCCAAGTAATCCATCCAGTGATGTTGAGGTCTGGACTCAGGTCGTTGTTTTGTGAACACCAGCAGCTTCTTTGTTTGGTTTGCAAATGTTATATCGTCGCCGTCCAAAAAAAAAAAAAGAGTAGTTTTACCGCAGAGGGCAAAAACGTCTTAACTATTGATGTAAGTTAATGTAAAAAGGGTTTTATTTCAAGTCATTGTAGAGTATTTCTATTAGTCCAATCATCATGAAATTTTCACAAGATATAAAGGGCAGCAGCTGAGTTCAAATACTGTAGAAAAATAAAAATCAACAAAAATGGAGATACATGTTTTTCTTTGGACAGCGACAATATTTTGCCTCAGTAATGTCTTCTTGACAGCAACCCAGGAAGAGCTTTAAATGGTGTTTATCTGTCGGGGGAGTTTTGGTGGTCTAGCAGGTCTTGTATGGTTGTCAGGAGCCCCATTTTCTCCATCTTTCAACCATTTTTTGAACTCGAATTTCGGAAGCTCCTGTTTTTCACTTTGACTTTCTCCTTCCTTGTGCAAGTGGGTTATCTTGTATCTAATCTCCTCAGAAGTATTTCCTGAAAAATGAATAACTTCTACTTAATGATCTCTGACTTTTGCACAGTGCTGTGTGTAGTTATGCCAAATCATTCCTGTTTTTGCATTGGAAAATGCACCTTTTATGCATCTTCATTGGCAGAAAAGTAGAAAAGTGCTGTAAATCGCCTAATTTGCCCAAATTTGCAAGATTTTCAAGATAATTATACAGTGTTGGCCTTAAAGTTAACTGCAGTGTAATACGCTACATATACTGAACTACATGGACTACATTAATTGTATTGATTTGCATTTGTAGTTTGCATCAGGATAGTACAAAACATTTGGCTTTGACTTTGTTCGGAGGCTTTCCCTGCTTTCTCCACTGAAGTTAAAGGGTACTCATTAATACCACATCACCTGATCTAACCACCAGGATGGGGAAATCCCTTCATAGCTGCATGAAAATGACTTCCTCAAAGGTCTACAGCAGTTAATGGTTAATCTGGTTTAGGCACCTGCTCCAGTGAGGGGTTAGAAAGCTGTGGTCGAGGGTGCTGATCATGTGCTACAGTGATTATAAATAGATCATGGAGGGTTTTGCTTGCTGTGTTGTGCACCCAGGCTCTGATCCCCTTGTGTGAGGACGATAACCAGTCTATGGAGATCATCCAGCGGCTGCAGAAGAACCTGGACATCCTCATCCAGTCCATGACCAGAGTTTCCAGCCGCTCTGAAATGCTGGGCGCCATCCACCAGGTCTGTATGCTTACCTGGTGCTCCAGTGTAGTGGGTCCAATAAGAAACGACCATACTTGTGGTCTACAGATCAGATTCCCGTATTTTAATTAGAGGTGCATGACACTGGTGGCCTGTTTTCCAAAAAGGTGTCCTATACTGTGCTTGTGCATGCACTGACGTGTGGTCACTTGGTCACTTCTATCAAATGGATAGAATAATGGACCACCACCCCATACACCAATTAGAGTCCTTGGGCAAGACTCCTAATATTTTGCACATACCAGTATGTAATTTGCGCTAAATAAGAGCACCTGCTAATTATGTTTACAATAATTAAGCATTTGCCAGATAATGATGGGAGCTGCTCTCAGCCAATCACAACCATCTCTAAACACTATTTCTACTGTCAAGTGAAGGAAAAGCTGACAAACCTCCTCAGAACAAACTTGCAGTGAGAACGGCAACGACAGTAAATTAGTCAGAATTACACGGCTAAGAAATAGTGAATATATAATATTGCAGAAGAATGTTATGAGATCTAGTGTTAGCTTTAGCGTTAGCTTATCTGAACGTGTAGCTTTCGTCTCTAAAACATCCTCATTAGTCATTAAAAAAATGCCTCTAATGTCCGGTGGCTAAGTGATTTCCCTGGTTTGATTTAATGTAAGCATAGTTTCCAGATGTTGACCATTTGCAAAGTAATGATGAAAGTGCCTCTTAGCCAATCACAACCATCTCTAAACACTACTTCCTCTGTCGACTGACGGAACTCCTCAGAACAAACTTGCAGTGAGAACGGCGGCGGCAGTAAATTAGTCAGAGTTACAGGGCTGAGAAATGGTGAATAGGTGTTACAGAGGAACATGGAATTCATACTGACCTTCTGGAGGGTGGAGCTGCTTCTTCATTTTTTTTTTATTCCTGAAGCTAAAGGTTTGGATTAAACTCTGTGGAAGACCAAACTTACAGCTCAATGTCTTTAACAGGCTTTGAGATAAATTAAACGTAATGTATTTTGCTGTAGTTGCTAAAACTCATTGTAATATCATGTATAATGATGTATAACATTGCCGTAGAATGTTCAGTTTTCTTAGACCTAGTCTTAGCTTTAGCGTAAGCTCATCTGAAGGGGTAGCTTCCGTCACTAAAACATCCTCATTAGTCAGTAAAAATGCCTCTAATGTCCAGTGGCTCAACGATGTCCCTGGTTTGATTAACGTAAACAGTTTCCAGATGTTGACCATTTGCAAAATAATGATGGAAGCGCCTCTCAGCCAATCATAACCATCCCTCTAAATTGGCCTACATTCGTATTTTGTCCGTTCTTGAACGTGTCTAAAGTGAACATCATATTTTTTTTTTCTTTTGAATAATAAATTATTCTCAGATGTTCTCCTCTGTGAGCTTCTAGGTTGTCTTTTGTTCTTCCAAACTTTGTAGCCCGTTGGCACAAATTCTATGTAGGGTCTGGCTGCAGACGTGCACTCTCAGCCTGACATGCACCGCCAGCCCATTGATGACGTCAGTGCTGCTCTGCCACGACAGTGTTTTTGTTGGTTTTATGAGCAAAAACATTGAACCACGAACTACTGGGTAACAAGAGATACACTGAATGTATATTAACGTTGTCATACTGATAATAAGGTAGTTAAATATGGAAACTTCCAAAATGAAACCTACCACGGCGATAAAAGATGAATGCCGGGTTTATTCGCCTAAAAAACAAAAAGGCTACTGAAACTCATGAAAGCCAAGCTGAAGTCGATCAGAGCCGGTTATCAAAAACTGTAATATTGATTAAAATAGAGCTCATTAAGGATTCTAGGAGGTTGTGACAACGTACAGTCAACGTAGTACTGATTTACTTCTGCTGTCTCGTCAACGTCGTCACAACCTCCTAGAAAGCTGTCGGACAACGTTGTCATAACATTCTGAGGAATTACATCTCAACATTGTGTTTTCAGGGCCGTCAGGAATAAAACCTGATGGTTTTGCTTCCTAACGGGAATTGGCTTAATGGTTGCCGTTAGAGGCCATTAGAAAACAATCAAGTGTATGTGGAATCAGTCAAAACACCTGATTAAACGATCAGAATCCTTTACACTGTGATATCAACCCATCAGGAAAACACAGAATACCACTAGCGAATACTGAAAACCACCAGGAATCAACAGACACTTTTAATGGGTTCTATGGGTTTTTCAACAGGGAGGTGTATTAAATGTAATCCTCTAACCGTGTTATGGATGAAAAACGGATTAAGTGATGTTGCTAAGCAGCAGCAGCCAAAAGTTACCGTGCCGTATTGCTGCTCCTGCCATTGTGGCAGAGAGTGCATGTGCACGTGATGTCACCGGGGCTGAGAGTGCATCTGGCTGAGAGTGCATGTCTGCTGCCGGACTCTCTTGGGGGCTGCCAGGTAGACAGATTTGAGAATATGAGGGGCGTAGCAACAGTAAGGGAGGCGGGACTTGTCAGAATTTTGCAAACGGTCTGATTTAGCTGTTGTAGCTGTGCAATATCAATCCGTGATCCATCTTTAGAGATTTAAGCTTATTAGATTTATAGAGTAAACTTGTTTTAAATGCAAAAGCAAGACAAACTGTTATTTGTAGGGTCCTAAACTGTTTATGTCCGATACTGATTTCTTTACAGCCAAAATGCAGTTGGCTACTTTTTTTAAATCCAAAACTCAGATTTTGTGCTACATTAACACACACATACATTTCTAGTACTTTTTATTGGCCAACTTTGCAATATAAATAATATAATTTGCTCTTTAATGGGCCAAACTGGCATTTAATTTTTTTCAAGTTGCCTATTTACTTTTAAGCTATCTATTTAAATAACAAAGTGCTAAATTGAAGCAGGCAGAGGCAGCTGGCTGTTTTGCATAATGGCATGTTATGTAAAATTAGGCTATTTTGGTTCACATGTAGCAGCAGCATTCAAATACAGCGCCAGCGCTCTGACCTGCCTCATCTTATTTACATTATAAATTGAAACAGAAAAACTAAATTAAACTTAATTTGGTGGATTTGCTGCTTCATATTTTGAGCAAACATTTGCAGATTCCGATCTTGTCTGATTCCGATCGTGCATCCTTAAGCATCCCAAAAGCATGCACTACGTTGTGTGAATGGATCAGTAGAATGAATGGATCAGTAGAAATGCTCTGAATGCACTTGCTTAACATGCATGTTTTTTCTTTGGACAGCGACTATATATTATTATAAAAATAATGTGTGTATAAAAAAATTAAATGTGTGTATATATATATATATATATGTGCATATCTATATATGTATAGGTATATATAATCTCGCTGTTGTCGGATTAAAACCTCGCATCTCCAAAAACTTTACAGTAGAAGGAGAAAACATATTTTACTTTAATGTAAGTCAATGGAACCAGACATCTTTCTGAATAATTTTGGGCCATTTCTTTTGGTCCATTCACCATGAAATGTACACACAGTTTAAAGGACAACAGGTACTTTCAAATTATGTCAAAAACTGACAAACGACAAAAATGGAGATACGAGGTTTACATACATACAAACAAACAAATAAATAAATAAATATTTTATTTTTTTTTTTATTTTATTTTTGGCCGAAAATGAAAGAAGTAATAAGCTACTTAGTTTCTGCAGTAGCTATGCTCCTGCTGGTTGTTTATAAGCTGTCTATAATTGCTTCAAATGTGTATTTATGAAGAGTGCAGTCCTTCTAAAAGTACTGATACCTGTGATGTACTCAGAAATGTGTATTTTGAAATAGGGCTGTACGATTTATCGTATTTTTATCGCTATTGTGTGTCCTCAATGAACACACTGTCATGCTGTGATAATAGAACGCATCAAATTGCTGTGACTGTGACGTCTCCCATGAGTGAGTTAACCACGCTGCTATAGTGCCAGTCTCAAAGCAAACGCAGGCGTACAGCTCGGTAACTACAGTATTCGCAACTACTACAAATGCGAAAAACCGGATGAATGCTCTCATTTGCATAGTTGTGTGAAGCAGAAATTTCCAGCACACCTAAATCACCATAAGAAGCTTTGTAAGGAATTTAATATATATAAATAATGTCCTGATAAATGCTATCTGATAATGTCAGAATCGTGCTGTTCCTCAGCAACAATGTTCCTGTGTTCCACACGTGGATTACTCATGCAGCCTGTGTGTGTGTGTGTGTGTGTGTGTGTGTGTGTGTGTGTGTGTGTGTGTGTGTGTGTGTGTTACTCATTCTGGGCGCTGTGTAGGAGAGTCGCATGGGGAAAGCGGTGGAGGTGATGATTCAGCACGTGGAGAACTTGAGGAGGACGTACACTAAAGAGCACGCTGAGCTGATGGAGCTCCGAGAGACCCTCATGCAGAACGAGAGGTCTTTCGGCTCCCACACAGAGAGGGGTAACGCGCACACTGTTGTGATTACACAAGTGCTCAGTTGTCAGTGAACCTACATAACGTTTGCTTTTCACTGCAGAGTATCAGCACTAATGCTTTGCGTCCTCTCGAGTCTGAATGCATCTCAATTCGTTTTGCCTGCAGATGATTTCAGGAATAAAAAGCAGCAAAGCTCCCAGTACTACAAGGTGAGTGTGTGTGAAGGGAATCTGACAGCACAGCCTCTAAGTTCTGAACAGCAGACGAGCAGCTCTAGCACGGTTTGTCTTTGATGCAGTATTTTTTGTAAGCGATTGTAATTTTTATTAAGAAAAAAAGAAACAAACACTGGATATTAAGTGAGTCTCAGATCAAGTGTTATTAATCCATGTTCCGGTGGTTGTGCTAGTTAAGTGGCGGTCTCTCATGAACAGTCATGAATATCTGTTGACGGTGGGTGTGGGATCTGTTGAGTGGGTGATGTGGCAAAAATCCAACATCACAACACTTGTACATTTTCACAGTAGACAATACACCAATCAGACATAACATTCTGACCACCTCCTTGTTTCTACGCTCATTGTCCATTTTATCAGCTCCACTTACTATATAGGTGCACTTTGCAGTTCTACAGTTACAGACTGTAGTCCATCTGTTTCTCTGATACTTTGTTAGCCCCCTTTTACCCTGTTCTTCAGTGCTCAGGACCCCCATGGACCCTCACAGAGCAGGTACTATTTGGGTGGTGGATCATTCTCAGCACTGCAGTAACACTGACATGGTGGTGGTGCGTTAGTGTGTGTTGCGCTGGTGTGAGTGGATCAGACACAGCAGTGCTGCTTGAGTTTTAAAACACTGTGTCCACTCACTGTCCACTCTATTAGACACTCCTACCTTGTCAGTCCACCTTGTAGATGTGAAGTCAGAGATGATAGCTCATCTGCTGCTGCACAGTTTGTGTTGGTCATCCTCTAGTCCTTCATCAGTGGTCACAGGACGCTGCCCACAGGACACTGTTGGCTGGATATTTTTGGTTGGTGGACTATTCTCAGTCCAGCAGTGACACTGAGGTGTTTAAAAACTCCAGCAGCACTGCTCCGTCTGATCCACTCAGACCAGCACAACACACACTAACACCACCACCACCACGTCAGTGTTACTGCAGTGCTGAGAATGATCCACCACCCAAATAGTACCTGCTCTGTGAGGGTCCATGGGGGTCCTGAGCACTGAAGAACAGGGTAAAAGGGGGCTAACAAAGTATCAGAGAAACAGATGGACTACAGTCTGTAACTGTAGAACTGCAAAGTGCACCTATATAGTAAGTGGAGCTGATAAAATGGACAATGAGCGTAGAAACAAGGAGGTGGTCATAATGTTATGCCTGATCGGTGTATTTATCATGATGTTTAGCTTTTTCTGAGGTTTGCAACCATGTTGCCTGAAATGCACCTGTGTTTCTTTATTTAAAAAAAAAAAACTTTTAAGATCACATTTGACCGACAGCCGATTTGGTCAGACTCTGAAGATGAGGCTACACTAAATTCCCAAACTGTCATCACCACTGAGCAGCTTTTCAGTCGGCAGCTGTGACAGAAGAACAGCTAAACAACCTGGAATCAGCCAGAAATGAACCCAACACCATTCGCCAAACTAAATGGGCTGTAAGATGCTTTACAGACTGGCTGGAACAAAACAACATTAATACTGATCTGGCAAAAATTGACAAAACTGAGCTAAACTTGATATTGTGGCTGTTTTATGTCTCAGTCTGACTCTGACGTAGCAACAAGCTGCTCGTTAAGGAACTATAATTTGGCTGAAGGAACTGCGAACATTAAAACATTAAACGCCGCGTTCACGGCCCAGTTTATTAATTTATTGCTTTATTTATTTAACTGTTGTATAAAAGCAATAGAACACTCGAGGAGTGTGTTATCACATTGTTATTTTGCGATAACACACTCCCTCTTGTCTTCTATTGCTTAAGTATTACATTAACTAACTTTTGTAGTTTATTGCTATTTAATTAGAGGAAAGGTAACATTGTACACTGTCAGACACTTTTAATTAATTTATTGCTTGTCATCATCAAACAACTTTATCAAGCATCACATTTTATGTCCATACCTTGCAGCCCTATCGTGATGTAGTAAATAAAAATAATACATTGTCTTGTCACTCACCCGTAACAACTGTAGATCAGGAGTCCATGTGCACATAGTGGCTCTCTGCAGAAGAATCCTATGGTATCATCAGCTTTGTTTTCTTTATGTTGTATCTATAGCCGAATACCCGTCGGGTCAGCATAGCTGCCATCCCCCGTGGAGGACCGATGCAATTTGATTTGGTGAGAAAGAAAGTCTGCTTTTTAAACAGTTCCAGACAGATATTTACTGACGATGGGACAAGTGACCTTGTTGATTTTTTTTAATTCGCAGACCAAAGATGGAATGGAGACGGAGGCAGAGAGGTTGTCTCGTAGATCACCTTGGTGAGTATGAGGAAAAAGGGCTCTGCCACACCTGTATGTGGTCAGCATGGCATTGAAGCTTCCACAGAGACGTCCACTCACAAACAAAACTCAAGCCTGTTTTCAAAGGTTCTAGATGTCTGCTTGGACCTTGCATGCTTTGAGTTTCAGGATGTGAAAAGTCTGCCACGTTTGTTCAATCAAACAAGTGGGCGGAGTGAAACTGCTCAGACCTGGAGGACAAGCAAAGGAGCACAAGACAAGAGCTGGGGTCAAATGTCTTAAAGGACTAGTATGGTGAAAAATCAAATTTAGACAGTTTTCCACTTACCGTAGATGCAGTCGATCAACCAAGACGTGTTAGGCGTCTAAATTTGGTGTCTTCAGTTTAGAACTGGAGCTACAAGGCTAATGTTGCTAACTAACACTAGAGCTCAATAGTCACCCAAATAGCCTAAATTATGTCTTTAAAAATCCAGCACCAAAACTACACCAATCCACATCCTGGTCTTCGTTAAGGTGGTGCAGACTTATCAATGTGGTTTAGGACACAGTATGACTGAGAAAGGACAGAACGGCAGGTAGCCGCTTTAGACAACAGCGTCTGTATTCACAAACTACCTCTGGGGTCGGAGAGCTGCTCTAGAATCAGTATTTGCAACAGTAGCCACGTTTACATGCAGCCTGATAATCCATTAATAATCCGACTAATAGCTCAATCGGACTAGAATACGTCCATGTGTACACTTCAGTTGGAATAGACAAGTCCAGTTGAGGCCATTTGGAATACAATTTATATCTGATTGATCGAGGTGGGAAATCCTGTAAATAATCCGTTAAACAGAAGAATAATATCCGTGTAAACGCCTGTATCTGATTACATTCCCTATCAGAAAGTTTAAGTCCGTTCTGATCATGTTCGTCGCGTCATAGTGAAAGTTTATACCGTTCAACATGGCGGAGCAGAAACTGGTCCGCAGAGGAGACGAAGTTTATGCTCTGATTTTTAAAAGACGGCGGTGGGACGGACGTCCAGCTTATGTGTCTCAGAACACGACGTCTTCCTCTCGGCCTTCTTTAATAAGGACATGTGAAGGACGTTTTCCTGAGTCTGACATCATTTTAAAGCAGTTAAAAACACAAGCGCTGCTCACTGCTGCTCATCTCACTCTGACTGGACTCGCGTGATGCTGGTTGTCATGGTAACGTCTACACTAAGTGGTTCTCTACGCATGCGCGTCATTTCCAATCTGATTACTTGTAGTGAGAATGTGAACAGAGATTCTCCATCAGATTGTTGAGTAGGGTGAGAATATAAACACCTCAGTCTGAATCTACAATCAGAATGTGTTTAATCAGATTGGCAAAAATCTTTGCATGTAAACACAGACAGTGACTAAAGGAATCTGATCCACGATCAGTCCTGCTTTGTTAATACCAGCACTGGTGTTTTCTGAAACAGCTGCCTGTAGCAGTGAAGTACTGTTCATTTTTATAGTTCACAGTAAGTCGTACTGTGTCCTAAACCACAGCGAAAAGACCTTTAATGAAGACCTGGATGCAGTTTGAGAGGTTTTAGTGGTGTATTTTTACAGAAGCTATTTGGGTGACTATTGAGTTCTAGTGTTTGTTAGCAACATTAGCCTGGCAGCTCCAGTCCTAAAGTAAAGAAGCGAAATTTGAACATGCCTTGACGAGTGGAAAACTGGGTAAATTTGATTATTTTGCTGAACTATTCCTTCAAACATCAGATGCCTTTTATGTTTTTATATTATGACAACTGGTGGAAGCTGATCTCAGGTCGGGCACCTGACACTAAAAGCACTGGACACGTGGGCCGGGCTCTCACGGCATGTACCATATCATAGCACTTTGAGACAAGGTGTATGTGTGACGCTTCACAGGAACGTGGTGGGGAAGAGTGCTCAGCGGCCCCCACTGAAGCGCTTCATTAGCTCTGGAGGTTGGGCTGAGACAGATGGGCCTGCTCTTATTAATAGGTAAGGACCTCCGCTCCGACCGTGACCGCCGCTGCCGCCTGCTGCTCACATTGTGCAATAGTTTCACCGTTTTATCTGTGAAAAGCCATTACAGGAATACTTTATCCAGACTGCTGATGTAGCTGTCGATGATTGATTGAATCTGAGAGGTATAATTAGCTTATTTAATTTTTTAATGGCGCTGACTGGACTACGGCCCGATCAATATCTTCTGAAGTTGTGCGGATTTATCGGTATGTGAGAGTATTGATCGTGTTAGCAGATATTATCGCTTAAGGATTCGTAGCTATTTACATGGTGAAACTTTAAATTTTAGTTGCATGAAACTTACCTGAAACTAAATTGCACTTGAGTTGCATAATGTAGAATCCTGCAACTCACTTGAAACTCAGCTGCAACAGTTGCAGGTGTCTCAAGTTCATGGAACAAGCTTCATAAAACAATCAAAATGCTGATAACGTGTCTTGTGATCATATCGAATGACACCATTTCAAAGGACTGCTTACAAAAAACGGCATCAGCTTAGTGGATAAGAAATTGATGGATATCTTCTGAAGTTGTGTGGATTTATCAGTAACGGAGAGATCATTCTGATAAAGCTCTTATATTTAGGAGCTTGTTTTGTGTTTCAGTGAATGGACACCTCTGATGTGAGGAAAGCCTGAGCATTTAAAGGGGGATTCCGCTGATTTTCTGCATAATTCAGCCTTTGAGGTGTAAAACGTTTTTCACAGTGGTTGGGAGTGAAAAACTGTGTTCTAGAGAACTTGCCACCTTAGATTTTTACAGTGGTGGTGATAGGAACCCGGGGTCACAATGTCTACAACTCAAAAAATAATACATTTTCTTTATTATCCCAAACCAACAGTTTACCTACATGAGGTTGCTGAGTTTTATATGTAACATTGATCATGGAAATATAGTGAACATCTGAAAAAAAAAAAAGTTTTATTTGGAGGCTCTTTTGCCTCACAATGTCCTGCATGTAGCCCTCCACAGAGAACGGATTTTAATCATTTAGACCAAAACCTTCTGTGAGGGAGATTTTAGAGGCCTTAAAGTCTTCAGACATTTCCTATCCCACCACCGTGAACAATTCTGACTCAGTAATTTCCTCTAGAATGGAGCATTTCACACCAAACCACTCTGAATGACCTTGTTTACATCTCAACTATTGAATTATACAGAAATTTTGAAAAGGTGGTGGAATTCCCCTTTAACCGTTTCATGCTTCTATGCCTGCTTTTATAGAGAATGTTAAGCTGAACTAGTAAACCATACAAAGTACCATGTAAAATGCCTCAGGCTTAACATTTCAATTCAAATTAAATTCAGCTTTATAGTCGTAATACATATACAGACGTACAGTATAATAAAAAGGTTTGAGCTACTTTTCTGGTGCATAAATATTGAGACAAGGACATGAGTGCATGTGTACTAGTAGGATGATATGTATACCTAAAACAATAAACAAAAGCAATAAATAGACAATTGCTGAATAAACTAGAGACACAGAAGTGTACTGGTGCATAGAAGTGTGTATAAGTATGTGCAAAGTATGTGAGGCAATTTTAATGTTCAGTAAACAGTGGTATGAATGTTAGTGTTCAGTCCAAGTATATATAAAGTCAGACAGCAGCTCAGAATAGCATTAAAGTGCAGTGTGCAAGTAGTTCAAGTCGTTTGTTTTCCTGGCCTGGTGGGTGCTGTTGGTGTGACCAGTTTAACTGCTCGAGGGTAGAAACTGTTCTTGATCCTGGTGGTTCTGGCATTAGGTTAACATTATAATACAGAAAACCCTTTCTGTGACAAGAATAGATGAAAAATAAGAGCTAATTAACTGGAACGTCATGTTAACTGCTGAGAATGTTTAGAATACCCCTCCTCGCCCACCCTTATAGTGTAGCGAATATTGCGAGAATATTGCGATACTTGAAACTTTCATGATTCACAATACATATTACAAGATTTATATTTAGTTTTTCTGAGGTTTGGTAAGAATTGACATGCACGGGAAGGAGCACATTCAGGGCAATTTGCCCTGTAAAGCCTGAAATAATCATTTAAACGTCAGAGGCGTCAGGTCACAAGGTTTTCAGACTGTTGTACATCTTTACATATTAACGTCCGACTTGATGTTTAGGTCTCAAATGATCTCAAACTCAACATTATACTTATAAAGATATGACAATAGTAGATAATTCACTCGCATCACATTCACTCACGTTGAGTTGCATAATGTAAAGTGTCCTGCAACTCACTTGAAACTCAGCTGCAAGCTTATCAACTTCATGGAACAGGTTTCATGAAACAGCCGATCAAAACACCGATAACGCATCATGTGATCACGTCGATCGACACCATTTCAAAGGACTGATTTACAAATGGTGTCAGCTCAGTGGACAAGAAAGAGAAGACACTCTTTTGGATGCTTAAAAAAAAGGAGATACTCCTAACAGATTTCATGCAATGTTGGAAGTTTAATTTTGTCAGTTAACTGATGAATAACACACAAGAGTTTCTCAAAGCTGGAGTTAACTCGCCAGCTAATGCTAACAGCTGTATAAACTCTTCTCTCTTTCTAGTAGTCAGTATTTCACCCACACTCGTTTAGCCCTAGCATATACAAGGAATCGTGCAGAGAGAGAGCACTTCCTGCGATCTGATACAGCCATTTTAAACAACATTTGAAAGCTGGAAAAATTAGGCAAAGACAATAAAAATGCTGCTAAATATCCACATGTCGATAGATTACACGTCACAGATGAGTTTATATCGCAACATGATGGATCAAACAATGCGAGCTCTTTTTAGAGCTTTTTTTCTAGTGGAGTATCTGAAAAAGTTGCGTGCAACTTTGTTTTTGTGAAAAATTGCACAGAAATTAGGTTGCAGGCAACGTGCAAGTTGCGTGAATGTTGCACCGTATAAAACCAGCTGTAGTCGTCAGCAGTGTTGGCATTTTTGGGTAAAGTATTCCTAAAAGTGTGCTATCAGAACCTCGACAAGACCACCTCAGTCTGCACAGGGGGATTCAGCTGTGTGACCTGTGTGCAGGTACGGGTATGAGACAGATTTACCCTCGGAGGAGGAGCACAAGGAGGAGCCGATGGAGAGGAGGTCCAGCCTAACTGAGCTGGGCATCAAAATCACCTCGCTCCTTATGCCAGCCAAGACGTTAGTCATGCATTTTGCTGTTTCTGTCGCGCCTTTGAACTTTGAGCACAGATCTTCTGTCGTCTGTTTTGCTTTGGGCTGAAGAAGCAGCTAGCCTGAGGGAGAACTCACCTTCTAATTTCATTCCAATCAAAAAAAAAATGCTAATCAACTGCTTGTTGTTAATTACTTGCTAAAAAACCAGTGTTTTGTCTGTACAGCTTCATTTTGGGGCAAATGGTGACAGTACAGCACAGCTGTGGGATTTCAAGTGTTACAAACTGTAAAGTTGGTAATTTGGCCAGAGCCAGTTTATGAGGAGCCTGGCCACTTCCTATTTCCCCCGTTATATCAAAAAACATGACTGCAAGCAAGCAAGTCCTCAATGAATGGGTGTAAGTGGAGCTAAACGGCTAAAACTGAAAAGTTAAAATAGTTTTTAATCACTTTCCCAGAACTTTCCTTTCATTTTAGAAAGTAGAAGGATGTGTTTCACTAAAAAAGCAAAGAAAACTCACCTGTATTTCCTTTTTTTCTACAGCAAACGGGTTTTGGGCAACAGGACACTAACATTACTGCTACTGAGTGCTGATTGGTTGGCGAGCGTAGCAGCTCATTGGCTGTTCACGCTCACTGACGTCATGAATGCACATGAGGCGCTGTTTTAAACCCCTATAACTCGAGTTTAAAAGCTCTTAAAAATACAACAGCAGTGTTAAAATGTTTTATGCTGCTCCGTGTTCAGGACCTGAATGTATTCTTTTACATTAGAAATGTTTCAGCATTTATAAACTATGATTTTGCTCAAATGCTCCATCTTAACCCATTCATTTTGGACTCGGGAGCGCCCTCTAGCGTCTGAGAAACCTGGAAGACAGTACAGAGTGGTAATTCTCCTCTCTACAAGTTCTCTGATTTGGCTTTGCATTTTTATCCAGTTTCATTTCAAATATACTTGGCACCACCTACAGGAAGTCACATGCAAATGCACTTGGGTTCCACAGTAATACACTGCAGTCCTGTTGGGTATTTCTCCAAAGTGGTGGTGTTGATGGCTCTCCAGGCCAGTCAGTGGACTTGCAGTGAGAAATACCCACAGTCCTTTAACGAGTGTTCATCTTTGTTCTTTATGAATGTTGCTAACAGCTTTCTTTCAGTCCTCATGTTTGAATGTTGGATGTTTTTCTCTTCAGTTCTCTGAAACATGAACTGTGTTCTTCTTTCAGGCCTTTCTCCATGCTGACTTGGTTGAGTATTGGCTGTATTGCTGTGTGTTGCCTCTGCTCAGTGTGCTACAGCGGCTGGTAGAGTTGCCTTTTTACACTGATCTTTCGACGTAGCTACTGGGCTACTGAGTGGTACAGCAGTCTAAGTGTCATTTATAGATCACAGATTTATTTCTGGATGACGCCACAGCCATCCGGGATTCCAAGAGAGCATAACTGTTCTCTTTATTTGGGTGGATAGGTGGGGCCTTCTTCCCCCATCACTCAGCGCAATGCTAGGTAATGACATAGCAGAAGTAGCGGTTAGCCTTCTCCTCCAATCACGTTGAGCTGTCCAGTGACGTTGCGTTGGTGGCAGCTTGAAAAGATGCAGTGTAGCTTTGTGTCTCGGAGGCTTGGTAGCCAAGGCACGTTTATTTATATAGCATTTTTTAAACACTACTGTCATTCAAAGTGCTTTACAAATGAAAACATGCAGAGTTGTTAAAAAAAAAAGAAAAAGTAAAAAAAGCACAAATAGAAAAAACTAGTGTGCCATACTGCAGACCAGCCTCATCAATTTGAGAGATGATGCATACAGTCAGGATTGGATGAGCACTGTAGGGATTCCTGGTGGTTGTATGATGTATTTGTGTGCGTGCCTTGATGTTGGATGATGCCATACTGCAGACCAGCCTCATCAATTTGAGAGAATTTCACCACTTTATACAAATTTCATGTTTTCATTCAATCTGGTGGGTCTGGACTACCCCTTTAAAGGGGAATTCCTGTTTTTTCCAAATTTGTATACACACCAATCAGGCATAACATTCTGACCACCTCCTTGTTTCTACGCTCATTGTCCATTTTATCAGCTCCACTTACTATATAGGTGCACTTTGTAGTTCTACAGTTACAGACTGTAGTCCATCTGTTTCTCTGATACTTTGTTAGCCCCCTTTTACCCTGTTCTTCAGTGCTCAGGACCCCCATGGACCCTCACAGAGCAAGTCCTATTTGGGTGGTGGATCATTCTCAGCACTGCAGTAACACTGATGTGGTGGTGGTGTGTTAGTGTGTGTTGTGCTGGTCTGAGTGGATCAGACACAGCAGTGCTGCTGGAGTTTTTAAACACCTCAGTGTCACTGCTGGACTGAGAATAGTCCACCAACCAAAAATATCCAGCCAACAGCCTCCTGTGGGCAGTATCCTGTGACCACTAATGAAGGACTAGAGGATGACCAACACAAACTGTGCAGCAGCAGATGAGCTATCGTCTCTGACTTTACATCTACAAGGTGGACTGACAAGGTCGGAGTGTCTAATAGAGTGGACAGTGATGTATAAAAACTCCAGCAGCACTGCTGTGTCTGATCCACTCAGACCAGCGCAACACACACTGACACACCACCACCACATCAGTGTTACTGCAGTGCTGAGAATGATCCACCACCCAAATAGGACTTGCTCTGTGAGGGTCCATGGGGGTCCTGAGCACTGAAGAACAGGGTAAAAGGGGGCTAACAAAGTATCAGAGAAACAGATGGACTACAGTCTGTAACTGTAGAACTACAAAGTGCACCTATATAGTAAGTGGAGCTGATAAAATGGACAATGAGCGTAGAAACAAGGAGGTGGTCATAATGTTATGCCTGATCGGTGTATATTTGCTCATCCTGAGCCAAATCAAAAATATTGACATGATCTGGATGGGGGTTGTGGATCAGTGTAGACTGGAATCTTCTACCCAGCGCCGATGAAGAAGAATAAATGCCTTGCTTTCTCTGTTGCAGACCAAGCTGACCTGTCCTGCTCTGAGCATAACAACTAAAACCTGTTGCCTCTTCCATTCTGCTTCCTAGAGATGTTTGGTTTTTCATGTCATTGTACTCATTTCATCTTTTTCCTCTTTTATCACTCAGTTCAAACAGCCCAAGTCCTACTACAGAACAGGCCACACCTTGCCTGGTTGAGACGCGGCCTGCTGCGGCTACCAGGAGCCCCTGGGCGTGGGTGGCCATGCTGGTGGTCTTGGCTGGTCTCCTGGCCCTGTTGGCTAGCCTGGTGATACAGCCAGCTGTGGACGCAGCCCCTGTGGGCACCGGGGACTCCTGGATGACCATCCAGCAGCTTCTGTGGCCCTACACGGGGCTCCGGCACAACGGGCAGCCCCCCGTGTGAAAGCGGGGGCAGCCGGTGGCTCGGAACCATCAGCTCCCCCTAGTGGACCGGAGGCTGGGAGATCTGTATTTGAAGGATATGGATTTGAAGCACTTTTAAGTCAACTACAGGAACTGTGTGGAGAATTGCTGCCAAAGTACTCTACAGAACTATTCAACTCAGCCTGAGCTCTTTAATCATCGGTGGTAATGACAGATGTGGGTTCTCAAGAAGCTGCTGACAGCCTGCCTGCTAATGACATCACGGTCCCATGCGGTTGAGCAGAAATGGGCATTTATTGGACACATTTATTGGACATGGCATATTATTTTGCACATGCTTTCCAGACACCAACTTCACAGCTGTATCGGCCAATCATGTTATGGAACAGGATGTGTGCATTGAGCTGTCTGCACTGAACTCATGTGCCCTTTAAAGGTTTATGGACGCAGAATGACCCTCCCGGAGAAGCTGCCTTTTTAACTTTTCTTTTACGTTCAGGAGGGCAAACTGATGCTTTTACCGACAGTTGAAGGAGTAACGAGCTGCCGTTTTAAAACGATCTGTTTGTAAACTGTAACTTATTATTTTAAAGTTTTATTGCTCTAGACTGTGAATATCTACAAGCTGTTTTTCTTTTATTAATCTTTTGTTTCTCACACAGATGGTTTCTCTTTTCTTTTTTTTTTTTTTCCCATGATGTTCTCGCTTTGGTGTGCACTGTTATGAGTTCAAACACTTTTGTATGTTCCAAAGATGGGGAGAGGAAAAAATGACACAATAAAGTGACTGATCCAGTTGCGATCACAACTCGCTGCAAAAAGCTAGATCTGATGCAACGTGTTGGTTTTCAGAGGTCAGTGCTCCAGTTGTGGGTTTGTGCCTTTTTCATGAACTCTTTCACTGCATAGGAAATGTCAGTGAACATGTCATTGACACCAAGTCGTTCTCAAAACTTTCTGATCGACATTCGTACTGTTTGGTATGACCTTTGCTGTCATCTGTAGGCAGCCGTTTGTGCTGTTCTGAAGGTGCCATTTCAGGAAAGATGTGGTCTGTATTAAATTTTTTTTGAGTGTTAAGTGATTAAAAAGGAAAACTAATGGGAGGATTATTAATCGCAGAAGTAAACTACAACACATTTCATAGAGTTGCGTAATTCAGTTGGCAAGATGTTAGTCATTGATGTGAAATGGTTCATTGACTTGGATTTCTCTACAGTGGTGCTGATGGGAACCTGGAGCCGCATTACAGAAGATTCTTAAGTCTGAGATCTGCTTTGTTGTCATGGCAACCTCAGTTAAGTTAGGACAGAAGCCATTACAGAACAACAGCTCTTAAGTCTATAATCTTATTTCTAGATAAGAAATATTATATATAACTGCTGTTATTTTGCCATAACAGCACATTTTTTTTTCCGCAAACACTGTCACTCTGCTGAGATGCTGTTGCTAGGCAACGACTTTGATAGCTGTAGGAGACGCTCAAGCCATTTGAACGTTTTTACTTCTTACTTTGCCACAAACAGAAAATGGACACTTTTTGCGATCTCCTGATGATAGGGCCAACGCTTAGACGGTTGCGCCACTCGGGAGCTGAAAATGGACACTTTTAAGGTCACATTTGACCGACAGATCAACAAAAACAATGAGATTTAGACTGATGTTAAAATGGGTCACTGTGTCCACCTGATAAAATGTGAATGTTGTTCACCTATTTTCAGCAGCAGTTTGAGCTCAGAATTTGTCATATGAACTAAATATTTTAATATTACACTTTTTTACTTAGCAGTTTGTACAAAAGAGCTGAAAGAAATCATATAAAGCACAAGTTTACTGTGAGACATCTATTTGGTCATACATGTTATATGTTGTTTTTGGCTATGTTTGCAACATTTCAGTAGTGATGGGCTGAATATATATATATATATATATATATATATATATATATATATATATATATACACGAATGAAATGTTTTAATATTCAGCACATTTGACTGACAGCCGATTTGGTCAGACTCCGAAGATGAGGCTACACTCAATTCCCAAACTGTCATCACCACTGAGCAGCTTTTCAGTCGGCAGCTGTGACAGAAGAACAGCTAAACAACCTGGAATCAGCCAGAAATGAACCCAACACCATTCGCCAAACTAAACGGGCTGTAAGATGCTTTACAGACTGGCTGGAACAAAACAACATTAATACTGATCTGGCAAAAACTGACAAAACTGAGCTAAACTTGATATTGCGGCAGTTTTACGGCTCAGTCTGTACTTCAAGAGGCGAGGCTTACAGCAGACTGTGCAGCGAGTGGGCGGAGCTCGTTACTCTGACGTAGCAACAAGCTGCTTGTTAAGGAACTATAATTTGGTGAAGGAACTGCGAACATTAAAACATATTAAACGCCGCGTTCACAGCCCAGTTTATTAATTTATTACTTTATTTATTTAACTGTTGTATAAAAGCAATAGAACACTCGAGGTCGTGTTATTTGATGATAACACACTCCCTTGTGTTCTATTGCTTAAAATATATATATATATATATATATATATATATATATAGCTCAACAGATGTTTTGTAATTACCTTTTACAGTCATATGCAAACACAAACATGTTTACATGTTTTGTTGATTTTCTAAGTGAAAACACATCCTCTACAGAGAACACAAAGATGGCATGTTTCAGCAAATTGTTAGTGCACAGTTAAATTTTTATTTATTTATAAAATTTATTATAAATTTTATTCATGTTTAACATATTGGAAAATCATAAAATAAAAGGTCATAACTTTAGCACAGGCCACATTTTATGTTTTTTCTCCCAATAAAAAAGTTAATAAAGAGAATGTGTTCACTTAATTTCACTTCAAATCAATAAAACATGTAACTTGATGAGGGGCACCCAAACTCCCACCCCACTCCTTACCACTGTACAGTGCGTATCAGTTTATCAGTTTAATTAAAAACTACTAATATAGTTAACAGTGAGTAAAAGTCAGGAAAGAAAACTGCTGAATTTGCATAAAATGAACTGAACGCTAACAGCATTCGTTGTTAGCAATGTAGCGTTAGCATTGTGGGCTGAAATATTCCTCTTCATGTGAAAGTGAGCACGCGGGTGGCGTACAGCAGTCTCTGCACTGTGTGGATGTACAGGTGATGGGAGTGGCCGACTCTGGCCCGCCCCTCAGGGCTCATGCTGTCTCTGAGCATGTGCAGGAAGGTGGAGTGGAACTCGGTTCCCTCAGCCAGCTCCGGTGAGAACTCGTCGCTCCTTTCTGTCATTTTCAAACGCTGAGTCCTCTGAGCTCCTAGCAGGTATAGAGACCACGCCTTCTTTGGCGCAAGCCCCGCCTCCAGATGCTCACACACCTGTGATGGGGCAGCGGCACAAATACTTTCACAATTCAGTGAAGTTACTAACCATTCATACTAACTAAAACTAACTGAAGCTAAATGAAAATAAAAAATTCACATTTATTAAAGTGACACAAAATAAGCCCATATTATTTGCATACAGATCAGTGGCTTGGCTAACAGTCAGGACTGGATGAGCACAGTAGGGATTCCTGGTGGTTGTATGATGTATTTGTGTGCGTGCCTTGATGTTGGATGATGCCATACTGCAGACCAGCCTCATCAATTTGAGAGAATTTCACCACTTTATACAAATTTCATGTTTTCATTCAATCTGGTGGGTCTGGACTACCCCTTTAAAGGGGAAATCCTGTTTTTTTCCAAATTTGTATACACACCAATCAGGCATAACATTCTGACCACCTCCTTGTTTCTACATTCATTGTCCATTTTATCAGCTCCACTTACTATATAGGTGCACTTTGTAGTTCTACAGTTACAGACTGTAGTCCATCTGTTTCTCTGCATACTTTGTTAGCCCCCTTTTACCCTGTTCTTCAGTGGTCAGGACCCCCATGGACCCTCACAGAGCAGGTACTATTTGGGTGGTGGGTCATTCTCAGCACTGCAGTAACACTGATGTGGTGGTGGTGTGTTAGTGTGTGTTGCGCTGGTCTGAGTGGATCAGACACAGCAGTGCTGCTGGAGTTTTTAAACACCTCAGTGTCACTGCTGGACTGAGAATAGTCCACCAACCAAAAATATCCAGCCAACAGCATCCTGTGGGCAGCATCCTGTGACCACTGATGAAGGACTAGAGGATGACCAACACAAACTGTGCAGCAGCAGATGAGCTATCGTCTCCGACTTTACATCTACAAGGTGGACTGACAAGGTAGGAGTGTCTAATAGAGTGGACAGTGAGTGGACTCCAGCAGCACTGCTGTGTCTGATCCACTCGTACCAGCACAACTCACACTAACACACCACTACCACATCAGTGTTACTGCAATGCTGAGAATGATCCACCACCTAAATGGAAGTGGAAGAGTCAGTAAGCTTTTCTACAATTAACCATTTTACGTCAACCCACTCTGAAGGACGTGGTTTACGTCACAACCCCTGAATTATGCAGAAATTTTGAAAAATCAGTGGAATTTCCTTTTGAAAGGAACCATTAACTACATGACATTAAAATTAATAATGTCAATTATTTTAGTCAAATCGAACTACAGTCATAAATAGCTGATTTCTATCTGTGGAATGCAAGATGTGAGCCTTAAGAAACGTATGCCTGTGTGTGAGCAGGTGAGCTGCACCTGAAGAACAAGATGCTCCTGTCCACACTGCGCGTTCCACTTGCTCCAAGAGAAGGCAAAGGCTGAGGACACCAGGGCCATTTGCTCATATACTGCATGCTCTATCAATGGATCCTAAATAGACAATTTGAACCAGCTTAGCCTAACAAGCCTATCATAACCATGAGCAATGAGCATCTGACAACAGTAAAAGACTTTAATAGGAAAATCAAACACAAACACGTTAATGTGATTACCTTGGCATTGACAACGACATACTTGTCTGAGTACTCATTAACAAATATGTTGAGTCCGGCACGCCTCATGGCCGTCTGTAGAGCGGAGAAGCTCATCCATTTGCCCAGTAAATGTGCCAGTTCATGAACCTCGTCCATCTGAAGCATGCACTGGCTGCCCTGACGTAGAAAAACAGCTTTGTCTCAAATTTAATTAACATTTCAAGGCAGTTTCAAGCTAAATGCGTGTGTATTGTTTCACTACGATGCTGCTGCTCCCTGTCTATGAACGAGGAGTATAAATTGGGGCTGTATGATAAATGTATATATTTATTTTGTTAAGGAAATATGAGTTTTTGCGATAAACATGTTGTTAAGGCGGGCGGCACGGTGGCGCAGTGGGTAGCGCTGTCGCCTCACAGCAAGAAGGGCCTGGGTTCGATTCCCGGCCGGGTGACCAGGGTCGTTTCTGTGTGGAGTTTGCATGTTCTCCCCGTGTCTGTGTGGGTTTCCTCCAGGTACTCTGGTTTCCTCCCACAGTCCAAAAACATGCAGTCAGGCTGATTGGACATGCTGAATTGCCCCTAGGTGTGAGTGTGTGTGGATGTATATGTCTGTTTGTCTGCCCTGTGATGGGCTGGCGACCTGTCCAGGGTGTATCCTGCCTTCTGCCCGATGACAGCTGGGATAGGCTCCAGCACCCCACCGCGACCCGGAAGGATAAGCGGTTTAGATGATGGATGGATGGATGTTGTTAAGGCTGCAATGACTGCAAATGACGTACTGAGGTTGATGGGAATGTAGCATTCGAAGCCCAACAAATGTTGTCCTCCACTGAGCCTGAACCGTCAAGTAACTTGACCGTTTATCTAAACGGCCAGTCACAAAGTACACACATGCACAGTGTGTGCTTTGTGACTAGCTAATCTATCTAGTGTGCAAACACTAACAGAAAAAGCTGTTCAGGGAACCCTGACTGTTTTTAGACTGATGCGCCTCACTGAACTCACGCACATTTCACAGGCTACAAATTCTCCACAAGGGGGCACCATTAGCAGCCATATAGACACTAGCTGTGTCCCAATTCAGGGGCTGCATCCTTCAGAGGCTGCATTTGAAGGCCGATTGCATCACAGCGGCTAGGCTATCTCAGTTCGAAGGCTCCCTCATATGCGGCCGAGAAATGTGTCCTTCTTTTCCATGGCAACCAAGGACCTGATGAACCATCACGCCTACTTAGATCACAAGGTGCTGCTCACTGTTAGTACCTAGAATTTATAAACTTACATCAGGGGGGGAGAGCCTTCTCATACAAAGCCCCCCAGCTTTGGAGTAATCTTCCAGTCAGTGTTCGGGACTCAGACACAGCCTCAGTGTTTAAGTCTAGTCTAAAAACTTGTTTAGTGGAGCTTTTGGTAATTAGTTTTCCCTGTTAGATAAAAGGTGTAGATCTGGGGGTTCATGGTCATAGAGTATTATGGTAATCTGGGAGTGTTGGTGCTGTCGTCCCGCTGCTCTCATGTGTTCACTCAAGTTTGCTGACGGTGGAGCAGAGGGGCGCCGATATCTCAGGGAGCCTCATGTCTCTGTTGCCTTTCTGGTTTCTCCCTTTTAGTAAAGGCCTGCAGTAACTAGACCTGCTGGAGTCTCTGCTGCTCTGTTAACACTGTAATCTGTGATCAGTCACTCTGTACAGAACTGACTCTCTGTGTTTTCCTTTCTTTGCTGAGTTGATCTGCTGCCCATCCTGTGCGTCTGATGCTGTTGCTTCTTCTGCCTTGATCAGGTGTCACTGCTCGCCAGCCCCCTGGACCGGCTTGACCACCATTGAGCTTCATGCTGTACAACGCTGTGCAAACCTCACCCTCATGAACTGACCCTCCTGCTGCTGCTGCATAAACTAAAACTAATCAAATTAACCATTGCTCCACCCGTTTTTCCCCGTTTGGTACTATAAGACTTTATACTAACACTGTTTGCTATCCGGTGTCAACCAGAGGAGGATGGGTTCCCTTTCTGAGTCTTGGTTCTTCTCAAGGTTTCTTCCTCTTGCTCTTGGGGAGTTTTTCCTTGCCACTGTCGCCACTGGCGACGCTCATGGGGGCTCGGACCTGGATTTTTCTGTAAAGCTGCTTTGTGACACCTGTTGTAAAAAGCGCTATATAAATAAACTTTGCTTGCTTGCTTGATCTAACAGGTGGATCCTTCACCAGCCAATATAATGTGTGCCGGTGAGGATTCGAGAACATGGTGGCGTCAGCAGAGGAGCGAAGAGCAAACGGAGAGATTTATAAGACTGTGGGGGATCTCCAGCTCTAATAAATGAAAAAATAAAACTAAAATCAGAGTTTCTGGCTCTGTCTTTAAAGAACTTTAAAAGAACTTGACAGGAGCAGCGTTTCATGATGCAGCCCAAAGGGCGGGAACCGCAGTGCTGTTATGCAAACTCCCATTTCGGTTCAGCCTTTGCGGGTCTACACAGCCTTCGAATGACACTCCTTCGTAGACTGCGTCCTTTGAAGGATGCAGCACCTGAATTGGGACACACCTTTTGTGTCCGTGTTCGGCCTTAGAGCGAACAAAAACAGGCTTATAATTCTAATGTAAGTAGCTATTAGTATTTCATTATTTTTATTTTGCACAATATTGAACAGAGCTTTTCTAATTTTGCTTTTTTTTACTATTGGCTTAAAAAAGAGGTTACTTAAATTTCTGTTTACACAGCAAAATAGAATAAAAGAAAGAAAGAAAGTATGAATCTGTACTTGTGGTACGTCCCACCAGAGGCACACTGTTCTAAGTAATTCTAGTAATTTGTCACTGATATTGTCACCATGATATCCAACAGCTTTATTGAACTTTGCATTTTATGTCCATATTGTGCAGCCCTGATATCAATACACACAAAAGCTGACAATTAAGAAAAGTCAGTAGCTATCACCAGCTGTGATTATCTCATTTGTGTTATAATGTCTGTGGCAGGCATAATAACTTTAATTTTTTATTTACTAGGTTAGGGTTTTTCATGGTTGAAGCTTTCCCCTTAATTTCACAGTTAGAATGAGTGCTGTAATGTGAGTGTTCTGGCTGTCGGTCAGTCTAAAACAACACAGCAGACAGCATTTTACAATGTACAGTACAATAAGCTACTCCTGCAGTCTGAGTGAGACTTGCCTTGACCGTGATGCTGACTTCAGTGAGAGCTGTAGTGATGGTCAGCAGGGCAGAGTCCTGGCCCAGCGGCCTCAGCTCCCAAGACTGGAAGGGCAGATTCGCGTACGTCTCCTGCAGAAGAGTGAAGGCGCAGAAGGATTCCATCTTAAAGGAGACGCTGCGAGCCTCGGCGTTGTACGACGTCTCTGTAATGCAGTCTGTCCGCCAGTGTTGGCCTACAACCAATCCAGAATGCGCAGAGGAGAGGTATAAATTTAGGAAAAGTGATATGAAGTTAGGAAGTTACAGTTTTTATTTTTAATAGGAAATTATTAAAATGTTATCTACATTTAAAAGAAAACATATGCAAAACCGTCCTCTAAGCACCACATATTAAAAATGTACAAAAAAAAAACAGTCAGAAAATGCATGGATGGCCATAAGGCGCTGTAGTTTACTATTCATACTCTTACTCACACAGTGTATATCCAAAAGTATCCGGACAGCCCTTCTGATTAGTGAATTCAGCTACTTTAAAACAGAACTGCACCAGTTTTTCAAAATTCATAATTCAATCGAGATGCAGAGTCATTCAGAGTGGTTTTGTATGAAATGGTTCATTTTAGAGAAATTTCTTTACAGTGGTGGTGATAGGAACCAGGGGTCGCCATGACTACAACACAAATATAGCCATTTTATTTACTATGCAAAACCACCAGTGAACCTACACGAGTCTTCTGAAATTTCATATGGAATGTTGATGACAGTAAAATTGTAATAATTCTGAAAATATGTTTCCTATGAGGACAATTTTGCCTTACAAAGTCCTGCATGAACGTCTCTGCCTTTAATATATTAAAGAAAATCTGGTGTCAAAACTAGCTTAATACAATGTCTCATGCATCAGGCAACATATTCATAACAATTTTGTGTAATACCTTTCTGTGATGTAGCTTTTAGAGGCATTAAACTCCAGACGTCTGGTTCCTATCACTGTGAACAATTCTCTAGAATGGAGAATTTCACACTAAACCAGTCTCAATGACTTTGTTCACATCTTAACCATTTATTTATGCAGAAAACTAAATAATCCCCCTTTAAAATCTTAGCAGGATATAATCCAGATACAAGTCGCATGGAATGACCAGGTGTAAATGGGGCCTATGTGACTTAGATGTAGCATCAGTCAGTTACCGACAGGGTCCCAACGGGCCACCTGTGGCTCCTCCAGGAAGACCACAGTATCAGGCAGGGCTACAGTGACCCCTACAGGAGGGAACTGTGTGTTGTTTTCATCCAGCTTCCCCGAGACCGAGCTGTGCACCTGCGAGTGCTCCGAGGGATACGGGAAGACCTGCAGACCTGTGTCTAGTAACTGAAAAGAAAACACACACATGCACACAGATTCATCATCCAGATGTCCTGAATCATCTCATGAAGCTGCCTTCCTGATGTCTGACCTTTACCTCTCTCATCTCCCAGCCGCTGACCGTGTGAGACTGTGGTGGTAGGCGAAAGACGTTGAAGTAGAAGACTCCGCCTAGAGGCGTGTACTGCTGCAGATCCACTACATGGACCTCCGTGCTGTCAATCACGGGCTCTACTACAGCGGGGGTGGAGTCAGCCTCATCTGGTGAGTATTAAGGGCTTCAAGTTGCATCCAAAAGCCACAACATGATCATTTCCATCAAAAACATACCACTCAGCACTGAACGCCTGCAGCTCTGTAACCTCACAAGGGTGACATTCTCTCTCAGTCCAAACTGAGTGTGTTTTTAAGCTTATGAAATGAAGTCTTAGATATCTAATGAAAGGAAACTCTTGCTCTTTGCCAGAGGAGGCTCACCAATGTCAACGTTTTCCTAATCTCGCTAATGTATTCTGTGGATTCCAACCTGTTCCTTCTCCAGATGAGGCGACTCCTTCCATCACGGTCTCTATCTGACCTTCTTCTCCCTCCTGCTTTTCTTTGAGTGAAGAGCTCTTCCTCTCCTCCTTAGCAGAACGCACGCTGATAGCACTCTGAGAAACACACACAAATGCAGGGTCGGGAGGGTTACTTATATATAATAACGTCTTACTGATTACATGTCAAAAATGTAGTATGTAGCTAATCTAAAGGATTATTATATTAATGTAACATAATCTGATCACTTTCCAATATTTTTGAATTACTTTTTAAGGCCATATTAACTAAATTTCACCTCTATAAACAAGGAAACGCACTGTTTTATAAGAAATATAATATATGTGAGGCATCTTTTTAATTTCATCTGTGTCATCGTCAATCTGAGGTTGAAATAATAATAAATCTTAAAATTTTATTCACTTATTTTTGTCCTTTCATTGATTTTTCCTCTCTTTCTGAAATTGTTTATTATTTTAAAAAGGTTTCATTTAAAAAAGCTATAGCCTTTTTATTGCTAAACTACCGTTTGTCTCGTGCCAACTTGTTGCAAACCTCAAAAAAACTAAATATTATGATACATATCATGTATCATGATGTTAGATTGACATATCGTCCATCCTTAGTACTATTCATTATATTCAGGCCACACACTCTACCTTCTTACGCTCAGATTTAAGTGACCGGAGCTCATCCTCTGCTTGTTCTGCACTCCCCCTCCCCTCCTCCTTTTCATCCTCCAGTACTTTGGGGGTCTCTGCCAGAGTGGTCTCCTCATTCACTTCATCCCTAGCAGGCTTTCTCCTCTGGGCTTGAGCCTTTTGGCTCAGGTGGGACAGGTGGTCATAGTGTGTGTGCAGGATCCTCACACCGATATCACTCATGGCCAGCTGCTTGGGCAGCTCAAAGCCCAGCCCCACCTCCTTGAACTGGTATCCTTTAAACCTGTATTAGAAAAGCACACGGGGTACAGTGCTGGCCCAGTTATTAGTTGGTCAACACTGGACTGTAAAAAAGTCATCTTTTTTTTATAATTATAATAAAACTACACCGATTTTTACGTGAACTCCAACTTCTTTTTAAGTTAACTCAAACGTCTAATCAATCATCCTGACATCAGAAGGTGAGTTTGAACCCCGGTGATGCCACAGCCATCCTTAAGTGGGAGCTCAAGAGGAGAAAATGCCTGGGGGGGACTGTGTGATAGAAGAAGTCCCAGCTAGTGAGGAAACTGAGTAGAAGTTAGATATTGTTTATAAGCAAAATTAGAAAATGTGAAATAGGGGAATTAAGCTGTTCTCAAGTTAAGTTAACTCAGGAAAAGCTATCTAATCAGTTACTTTATTATTTCAAAGCAGCACTATGTAAGATTTTTTGTTAAAACTGAAAGAAGTAGCTTAACTGAGTCAGGAGAATAAAAACAGGCAAAAGTGTGCGCTGCTGCGAGTCGCCCTGTAAGGCCTGAAATAAACATTTAAAAGTCAGAGGCGTCAGGTCGGGAGTTTTTCACACCACGCCGTGCGTCTTTACATAATAACGTCACATGCAAAGACCCAAAAAGAAGGTCTTGCTTGATGTTTAGGCCTCAAATGATCTCAAGATTAACATACTACCGATGAAGATGTGATGGCAATAGTAGATAATTCACTCACATCCTCAGAAGACGCTCCTTCACCAAGTTTAGACTGAGTTCTCTTTGAATTCTCTTTCAATCATCAGATTCATCCACTCGGGGAAGGGGGCTGAAACACGAATCATGTTACAAAATGTTCTTCTGCACATTGAGTGCAGTTACACATTTCCACCAGAGAGGTTGCCAAATCCCCCAAATGTATCAGTATTGGTTTCTTGCATCTTATATTGCACGCAGTTACACAATTCCACCAAAACTCTTCAGTACATCTTAAAATCTACTTTAAAGTCTCTTCATATAACATGATCCTCATATGTTTCATATGAAAATGCTCCGCTATCTTCATCACTACTTTCCAAAACCGCTGTAGCAACTTCAGCAGCTGTAAACTCTCTGAACGCCATTTCACATGAGTCTCTGATGTGGACTGAACGAAGAATGAAGGGTTTCCGGCATGATGGTCAGTCCTTAGTGATTTCCTGAGTGTCCGTTGGTCAGTTTCACACAGAATGTAGACGGACACACGAAGCCGACAGTTCCACATGGTGTATCTCAGCCCCTCTTCATAGGCTCATAACTCCGGATGTGAGTCTCGTATGATCTCGTGATAAGATGGAATGGAAAGGGCGACTCTACACATTCAGGAAGTGTTTGAACTGGATTTCGGCGCTGGATCATCACAAAGATACAGACACAGATATAGAAACATCGGATTTGATGTATGGGTGAGTTTGTGGAGCTCAGAGGGTTAAGCGGAGTTAAATCAAACAGATGGCATAGATGTGCCAGCCAAGAGATTTATGAGGCGAGTATTATAAAAGAAATATGAAAGGAATACTACAACAATTACCAGAGATGATCATTGCAACAGAAGCAACTACCCATTGGCTTCTATTATAAGTGTGTCTTGAGTCAACAGGTTTTCTGTTGTTTTCTAAGATGCACAGATCGATTAAAATTGCTTTCCTTTAAATCTTTGCAAGTAAAAGGGGAAAAAGATCAAATCTTGACTGGTATAAATTAAAATTGAAGACCCACCAACCTTGGGTTTTTGTTGAGGTTAGCCCACAGGCACAGGGTGATACTGTCATCTTGCACTACTGTCTGCATGTTACCCGTCTCAATGTCCGAACAAGCCTTAGCCCACTGAAAAAACAGAGCCAAGCACAGCTCTCAGGCATCAATTCATAGACGAGCTGTCACACTGTTTGGTTGTATGCTGTCTGTTATTGTTGTTTATGTTACAAAGTGATAACACATCCAAACAATCTGTGATCGATCAGCATCTTTACCTTCAGTATCTCCTCAGTGGCCTGCTGGTGTTTGGCATGGATGAGACTCTGGAGAGAGAGAAGTGTGTCCTGATACACCTGAGCCACAGAGGGTTCAGGCTCCTCCCTCAGAAGAAGGTCCAGTTCATCTGTCAGCTAAACAAGGAGAATCAAGCTCTTCACTCAAATAAAGAGAGAAAGAAGACCTCCTGTCTGCAGAATACAGGCTTTGCTTCAATCCAAAAAACATGACGGCTAATTGACAGTATGCAAAATTGTGATTGACATGTCTCCAGCCCATTACAACCGTCTCTAAGCGTTCCTCCGTCAGGCAAAAGACAAACTCCTCAGAACAAACCTGCAGTGAGAACGTGTTACTGAGGAATGTATAATGCCTGACTCAGGATATCCTGATGATCTGGAGGGTGGAGCTGTTTTTATTTCATTCCTGAAGTTAATCATTTTAAATGCAAAGCACCTCATTTTTTACTCACTGTTTAACTCACTCACTCACTCACGTTTATCAGGCTGAAGGTTCTCCACAAGGGGGCGTTAGCACTCAAGTAGCTTTTGGTGCTGCGTAAGAGTGGTGCTTTCCATCAGTGACACTGAATGTCCTTGTTCATTTGTGATCTAAAGATTTTCTGTTGTTTCTCTCTGTGGTTATGTTATGTCGTTAGCTTGATTTTTAGCGTGGTCTAACTAATTATGCATTCGAACTCTCAGGCATCAATTCAGCCCATTACAATCATTTCTAAGCGTTCCTCCGTCAGGCAAAAGACAAACTCCTCAGAACAAACCTGCAGTGAGAATGTGTTACCGAGGAATGTACAATATCCTGATGATCTGGAGGGTGGAGCTGTTTTTATTTCATTCCTGAAGTTAAAAACATTTTGGATTAAACTCTGTGGAAGAACAAACGTGCAGCTCAATGACTAAACTATTCATCAACAGACTTGCTCTAAAATAAGCTACTTTATCTCATTTACTGTTTAGCTAAAAATCACTTTAATATGATGTCAAATGATACAGAGCCATGTTAAGATCAGTTAGCTAGCCAATTAGCTTTTCTCAATTTAGCTGCTGACAGGTAAATTGATAAATGACAAAACCTTATGTAAAGATTAACATACTTAGCACATAACATTACTCCAGTGATAGATTTAGTGTTAGCTCCTTATTAAACATGATAACCTGCCACTGTAACATCAAGTGAATAAACTCTTTCTCTGGATTAATGTAAACATGGTTTCCAGAACCCTTATTTTGGGCTTTAAATCGGCTTTTAATGCACATTTTGTCAGTTCTCAAACATGCATGTCTGCACTGAACATCTTATTAAGCCAGTTCATTTATTAAATGTTTTAAATGTTCTTTTCTATGTGCTTCTAAAATTTCCTTTATGCCACTGAACTTTTTAGTCTGTTACCACAAGTGTTACACATGCTACCACATAGCCTGAGCTAAAGGTTTGATGGATCTATCTATCTATCTATCTATCTATCTATCTATATATCTAACTCACTCACCCACACACTCACTCATGTTTATCAGGCTGAAGGTTCTCCACAAGGGGGAGCTATTAGCACTCAAGTAGCTTCTGGTGCTGCATAAGAGTGGTGCTTTCCATCAGTGACACTGAATGTCCTTGTTCATTTGTGATCTAAAGATTTTCTATTGTTTCTCTCTGTGGTTATGTTATGTCGTTAGCTTGATTTTTAGCGTGGTCTAACTAATTATGCATTCGAACTCTCAGGCATCAATTCAGCCCATTACAACCATTTCTAAGCGTTCCTCCGTCAGGCAAAAGACTCAGAACAGAAACTCCTCAGAACAAACCTGCAGTGAGAATGTGTTACTGAGGAATGTACAATATCCTGATGATCTGGAGGGTGGAGCTGTTTTTATTTCATTCCTGAAGTTAAAAACATTTTGGATTAAACTCTTTGATATTTTGCAGAAAAAAGTGTTTTGCACCAACAAATATGTTTAATGTGATCTGCAAATCTTGTCTAACCAAGCAATAGTTGCTACAAAAGAATGCAATCATAGCCAGAGCATGGGTGCGTTAATTAGATCTCAGATAACGGCATCTATAGCCAGATCTATAGCCGGCATTTACTCACAGCCCACATGCCGCGTGGAATGATGGCACAGGGGAGGACCACATGCAGCTGCCAGAACCCACCCTGTTTACTGTCACTAAAGGGCCGCATCTCAGCCACCTTTAAACCAGCACTGCCAGAACTGACCCACCACTCAAACCCATTAGTTCAAAAACAAACTGTTACAACAGCTTCTCTGTTGGGTGGGACCTCCACTGTCACACATCCTGCTAGACTTAAGGAGAGAAGGCTGGCATGCGCATCCCCCTCTGTGACAACCAGCTGCAGATGGCTGTGGTGTTGGTGGGATTGGCAAATGCTTATCCTATTGCACTACTCTGGTACTCCGGCGTCTGAGTCTACATTTCCAATATAATCCTACATGTCCTAAATGTTTCCTACACTGTGAAAAAGATTTCAATTTAAAGTGACATGAATGATTTAAGTTTACTGAACATCAGATAAGCTTTATTGTTCTATTAACTTACCATTTGATGTTCAATGAACATGAAATTTTAAGCAGACAAATCATTTTAAACTAAATCTGTATTAAACTGCAAACCAGGATATGCAGTAGTGTTCCTAGTACTAGGCTAACTGTGTTCAACTAACTAAAATGATCATTTTAAACCAGCATTATTCTTTTTTTCAAATAACAAACAAAATGTCACACAGACCAAAACATTTTAGGTTGGATTTTTTACAGTGTGCTGAGTCATATATGGCAGAGATGTGAATTAAAACTATGCTTCCCCCACAATCCTGTTAATCCCTGTTTAAACCATAATTGATTGTCACATAGCTCATGGCAGCACTGGCTATCTTTGCCAGAAGTGCCCCAGATCTGTTTTAGCATGTGGAGGCCATATGAGCATTTTGCCAGTGCTGACCATGGGCCAGCAGTGCCATGTCTTTGCCAGAAGTGGCCCACATCTGCATGCTGTAGTCCATTCTCTGAACTATAGATGGCTCCCTTAAAAGATTACCTCATCTATATCATTATGATGCTATTTAAGCAATAGATCACGAGAGGGAGTGTGTTATTGCGAAATAACATCACGGCTGTGATTCGGTCGTAGATCAATGACCAAATTATAGTTCCTTAACAAGCAGCTTGTTGCTACTTCAGAGTAACGAGCTCCGCCCACTCGCTGCACAGCCAGCAGTTCGTTCTCCAGCTCCTCACACTAAATTCCCAAACTGTCATCACCACTGAGCAGCTTTTCAGTCGGCAGTTGTGACAGAAGAACAGCTGAACAACCTGGAATCAGCCAGAAATGAACCCAATACCATTCGCCAAACTAAACGGGCTGTAAGATGCTTTACAGACTGGCTGGAACAAAACAACATTAATACTGATCTGGCAAAAATTGACAAAACTGAGCTAAACTTGATATTGCGGCAGTTTTATGGCTCAGTCTGATTTGGTCAGACTCTGAAGACGAGACACGTTTGGCGAATGGTGTTGGGTTCATTTCTGGCTGATTCCAGGTTGTTCAGCTGTTCTTCTGTCACAACTGCCGACTGAAAAGCTGCTCAGTGGTGATGACAGTTTGGGAATTTAGTGTAGGCTCATCTTGAGAGTCTGACCAAATCGGCTGTCGGTCAAATGTGATCTTTATCCATTTTCTGTTTGTGGCAATGTAAGAAGTAAAAACGTTCCGATGGCTTGAGCGTCTCCTACAGCTGTCAAAGTTGTTGCTTGGCAATGGCGTCTCAGCGGAGTGATACAGTGTTTGTGAAAAAAACGAGAAATAACAGCACAGTTAGAACGCTTCTCAACCAATCAGCTTGAGTGGCCGGAACTAACTGTTGTATAATAATGTGTAAATACTGAGGGCCAATAAGCA